GATAGTAAACAATGCAGGCAGTTCATTATTTATATTTCTTCCTCCTTTGACCCTAATGGAGCATGCTACATACGCACCTCCGTAGCTTGCTTTCTAAATTTACCAATACATACTGCCTACCACGTGGGTTTTGTCACTCTGTTAATATTCTGTTTACTGTCTCATACTTTATTTAATCCTCTGTTGATGGATATTGAAATAATTTCTAATCGTTTGCCTCTCGGTGTGTGATAATGAGTCCTTAAAATGGGACAGTGGAGAGGGACAGCAGAGAATGGATTTGAGAAAGATCAAGATCAGATCAATAGAATTTGTTGATTGACCAGTTATGGTTATGAGGGGAGATGGGATGATAGGGATGAATCCAACCTGGGTAAACAGGTTGATGGTGGGGCCAGTGGTCAAGATGGGCAACATAGGAACAGAATGATGAAGAGAAAACAAGTTCATTTTGTCTGTGCTAAGTCCCAAGTTCTAGGGGACAACCAGGTGTGGGTATGTGTGAGGCCAGTGGCTGTGTAGATCTGAAACTTTGGCCTGGGGAGAGATTTATTTGGTAGACCTGGATTTGATCATTGGCATTTTCATTGACGTGGCCAAAATTATCAGGAGAGAGAATTACAGTGAAAAGTGGTGTCACATATGAACCCTGAGAAATGTCAGCCTTAAATGATTATGATTTTGACAAATAGTAAAGAGTTTTCTTTTTCTAAAATGATTTGAAATGACATTTCAAGTGCACTTTTGTAGTCCTTTCCTGAATAAGTGAATATGTACATTTATAAATGAAGATAAGGGTGACTCAAGAATATTAAAGCCATTTTCCCCAGGAAAAAGGATAGTGGTAGAACTAGGAGAATTCTTAATGCAAACATAAGTAGCAATGGTAATTCATGCACAGGTTGCTTTTTGACCTATGAGACTTTTGTATGAAATTACTTTTGATGCAGTTGTACAAATTCTTACTATGTCAAGTCATAGTAAAAGGCTGAAAGCTGTATCAAGCATGAAGCTGTTGCTTAGAATTATAAACTTTGCCAAGTTTCAGCACCTCCTATCGTTCTTCCTTAAAATTTTAGACTTTTCCTCCTAACTTGAATGATAGCATTATTGTTCTTATGTGAAGCGGTCTTGTTTCTTGAGATAATTTTACATTGCTGCACCCTTCAGTGGTAGATGGAAACTGAAAAAGGCTAATGTCTTCAATTTTGAAATCAAATTAGGAAAAAGCACCTCAGATTCTTGTTCAAACATTGCAAAATTCTGTCCCGAAAGAATTAGTGACTGCTTCCCTGAATTTTTAAAGCTAGGTCTCAGAGATGCAGTGAATAGTGTCCACTGATGACCATGCTTTGTGACAGCATCATTTGAAAGCACTATTATATCTTACAGAGCTTATTGATTTACTTCCTTGAATACTGTGAAAATTGTTTTCTTCTGTAACTATTTCCCTCTTGAGTGGTATTTAATTTTTATAAATCTGACACTCAAACATCCAGTTCTGAGAGACAGCACGACAAGGCTTTGGCTGTCTGTGAGTGCCCTTTGTGAGATCTAGGAATCCTAACTCAGTGATACAGTTCTCCCTCCTCAAGAAGAAAGCTCATGAATCACTCAGTATTTATAAAACCTACTCAATAACAATAAATCCAATCTAAATGTTTAAAGCGAGTCGGTGCATCTTTATATAAATGCCATTTAAAAATGATGGCTAATTAAGTGAAAGCTAAAATCTGCTGTCATTTCAGATTTTTGCTCCCACAAGACACAACAGTGATAAACGGAGCTAAATTAAAAAGACAAGTTACATTCTCTTTGTCAGAGTTGTCTTCCCTAGTGTGAAATTGGAGGTTTTCATCTCAACTTTGTCCTTTAACATTTTTCAAATGTTACATTGTGCTATTTTTAATCCTGGAAAAATGTATAAGATTGCTTTTTTTTTTTTAAGTCTCCATGCCTGGTATTTCTTGACTAGTAGGAATCTGAATTGGTGAAATGCCCAAATATTCATACTGAGCCAAATAAAGGAAGACATGCTCATGTGAAGCCAGGGGTGAGCACTTGAGAATGTCTGTTTTCTGATGTCAGTTGCCCAGCTTTGATACTGGGCTCTGGTTATACAAGATGCTCACGTGTGGAAGGCTGGGTAAAGGGAACATGGTCCTTCCCTATACCTTTCTCTGCAACTTCTTGTCAATCTATAATTATTTCAAAAATCATGTAAAAAAAGAAAAAAGTCAAGCAGCCCCTCAAATAGGCTGAGCACACAGAGCCCTCAGGAAGATTCCTAGTGTTCTGGTGTATCCAGGGCCCTTCAGGATCAGGGCATCACCACCCTCCCATGGAGGGTCTTGATTCAGCAGGGTGAGCTGGGACCCAGGCAGTGCCTCACACATTGGGGAAACCCCAACCCCATTTCTGAACCCCCTGCCCACTCCCTGAGCTGGGATCGAATCCTTCTTGGGAAGCAAGATGGGTGCGGGGACAGGGTCACTGAGGGCATGTCATCACCACTCTTTGAACCTGACTCCCTGTGCGCTCCCATGAGGGACAGTCTCTAGAAGCGGTTCCCTCCATGGGACTCGTGTTTCCCAAATAGTGTCCCCACCTGACGCAGGGCTATAGGTAGGAATCACTGTGGAAAATGGCAACCTGCAAATCAAATTCTCAAAGACTCAAAGCCTTAAAAAGTACATGTCTATAAGTGAAAATAAATGACAGGTAAAATCCTCAAGAAACATAAGCTGCTAACTTTAGGTTTTAGCATTTTCATGCAGGAACTGTAATTAGCCTTGTAACCAGTAATCACTTGTAGGGAATTCTGTACTTTTTAATAACGAGGTAAAGATGAATGGGTGATGTTGTCCTTGCTTTAGTAGTAGTAGTCTTAATGCTTCGTAGTCTTAACTTTTTGTTAATAATCCACCTTTATGTTACTCTATTGAGAGCTTGTGTTTTTAAACTCTTGCTTTGTTCTCTTATCTTAATCTTTAAGGGGGGAAAAGGGTAGAAATTAAAACATCTGGGAAGTAATTCCTGTACATTCAACTTTAGAAAATGTCAGCATTCCTTCTTACAGAATGCTTACTTCAGTAGAGCCAGAGTTACTGACAGCTCAGTGTTCACATCGTATTTTCCTATTTAAACTAGCAAATAATACTTTAAAAAAGTATTTTCTTGTAATTGTAACCTAATTTATTTGGATAGTTAAAATATTGGCTTGAACATCTGTTCTTTTCCACCTTAAGCTCCAGTTCAGTGTTAGATGTGTTGCTTTGTATTTCATGGCAAGAAATATCTGGCTATTTGAAATATCTGGTTATTTGATTCATAAACGTGCCTGAAATGTTTGAGGTCCAAGTGTGACTCTTAGCATCATGTGTCTGCCTTCACGGAGCCTGTGGTCTAGAGGACACTAGGGGTCCAACAGTAACAAACAAGTAAATACATGTCAAATGGTCACAAGTGATGGAAATAAAATGGGAAGGAGGATGAGGGGTGCTGTTGAGGGTGTGTGTGTGTGTGTTGTTTTTCTGTAGGGTGTTAGAGAAAGGCTCATTGATTAAGGTTACATTTGAGCAGAGATGTGAAAGAAGTAAGGGAGGAAACCATGAGGGCAAGGATTCCAGACAACTGGAACAGCAGGCGCCAAGGCCCTGAGATTGGTGCGTGCTTATTGCTCGTGGGGAGCAGCACTAAAATCCAGCACGTTGGAGCAGACTGAGGAAGTGGAAGAGCAGAGACGTCGTGGGAGACGTGGCCAGATGGCGAAGGCTGTGGGGGACATTGCAAGTGCTTCCACTTTTACCCAAAGTGAGATGAAAAGCTCCCACAGGAGGATTTGGGGGCAGGGGAAGGATTTGAGCTGACTTAGGTTGTGCCACTACTACTCTGACTTTAGGTGTAAAGATGAAAGCAGAGGACTTGTTAGGAGGTGTTGTTATAATAATCCAAGTGGAAGTGGCAGAACCTTAAACCAGAGAGCTAGCAGTGAAGTGATAAGGATAAGCCAAGGTGCAAAGGATGGGGCTGGCATCTGTTGAAATGGGGAGACTGGGAGGAGCAGGATCGGGTGGGAGTTGTGAATGTCCCAGTCCTCTAGCTGTGGTGCGGTCACTTGTGTGGCCAAGTCTGAAGATCACAGTAGGGCTGCAGAGTGATAGATATTTAGGAATCACCAGGGTATGGATGGTATTTGAAGCCATGAAATTCCTTAATGTCACCTTGAGAATGAGTATAGAGAAGAGATGAGAGAGCTGAGGCCTGTCATTTCAGAGATCAGGGTGTTGATTCAGAACTCACAGAGAAGTTAATTAAGAATTTTCCTAATGTTCTGTCTCTTTCTTTTAAGAATTTTCCTAATGTTCTGTCTCTTTTTAAATAGATTAATGCATCACTGGTCCCTTTAGAGACAGTGGCACTGTTTACTAATCATTGCTGGATTTTCTTTTTCTTTTTTTTTTTAAGTGTGTTTTACCTGATCGATTGCTAATACTGCTTAAAATTGATGCGTGTTTTTTGGGTCTGGAAGTCTGATTTTTGTGCAGCAGCACTTTAAAAAAAACCACCAAAAGTCATGTTTATTGTAAAGTAATTAGCCTCCAATTAAAATAAATAAATTAATTTACAAAAAAAACTAAAAAATGAAAAAGTCATGTTTGTAGTCATAGAAAACTGTGGTCTCACAAGTAATGGTTAATAAAGATAGAGGGTAGCATAAGTCTAGTCTGAATTTGCCACTGTTATTTCTGGCTTAATGGGCAATTCATATTGATGTATGGCAAAAACCATCACAATATTGTAAAGTAATTATCCTCCAGTTTAAATAAGTAAATATTTTTCATAAAGCTAAGAAGAAAAAGTATTAGGTTGTTATTTCATCATAGGCAAATCTGGTAAAAAATAAAATAAAAATCTAAGGTTGTGGTGTTAGTAGAATATTAGTTCCTTTACACCGAAGTTGACATTCTGTTTGTTTGGTTTTTTTTTCCCTCTTCTAGCCAATATTTGCGTTTTTGAATGAAGAAAAGTTTAACGTGGATGGATGGACCGTTTATAATCCAGTTGAAGAATACAGAAGGCAGGTAAGTCAGTAGATACTGGGCCACGCGAAGAATCTCAAATGTGCCTGCTGAGGATATATGCCTTTGGTCATGCTCTTTAAGAATCAGTAACACCCTTGCTAAATACTTTTTTCCCTAGCAGTAGTATAACATGGCTTATTCTGTCTGTCTAGTACTGTGAAGCCTACAAGCTCTTACAGGGCCATGTTCAAGCTGCATTGAAGGTTACATGGCTAAGTTCGTTTTCTTCCTACCACATGAAGAACATCCATTATATGTTGTCCATGAAATGAATCAAATACTCAGAGTCTAGAACAGCCAAACTTCTATATCTTACTACTCAGGAATTGATGTCACAATGTAGTTATGTGTTTGGGAGCTTAACTATTACTGGCAGTTAGATTTCAGTTATATTCATCTTGGCTTAGAGATTCAAATAAATTAGAACTATAATGTTGACTTTTCCAGGCAAGCTTTAATGAGTGTATATGAGAATTGCCTTTACTGCTCTCTTAGTAAACTTTACCCACGTGCATGTTGATTTGCAACAATAAAGTAGGAGGCTTCGAGTATTGTTGCTGTTCAGAGGTAAAGGTCTCCTGGCATTTAAAGAAGATTCCCATGCCTCTTATGGAACAAGAGCTGCACTTTCACCTCTGCTATAACCAAATCATGGGATAACTAGGAGTTTTGTGATGAGATTTTTCCTCAATCTCATTCTATAAAGCTTGTAAAATAATTGGGAAGTTTTGTTGAATTAGGTTTGAGAATCAAATCAAGCCCAGTGAATGTAAAGTCAAATTACAAAACACTAGACTTGAAAACCTTTAAGCCACTACTTCCACTACCAGGCCTCTTGGCTGAGTTCCCTGTTTAGTTTTGATCAGAAATTCAGGTGTGGGAATTTATCTCTGGAACACATATATGAAGTAGTATGCCCTGTTGCTAGCTTTAGACTATTTCATTTTCAAAGGCTGTGTGTACCTCTCATTAATAACCTGTCTTATGGGTTATATATGGAGGCAGAAGGACCATTGAAACAGCTTGCATGTTTTGGAGACCTCTGTAGTGTTATGTATTAAACTATCTGCACGTTAATTTTGGAGTATTATTGATAGTATTAAGACTTATTTTGTAGGTCAAAGCTTCTAGCTTGAAACAAAACAGTTCCTGTTTTTAAGCTTGCATGCATATATGAACTATTGAAGGTATTTTGTTCTAGACTGCCATTATATTCCATCTTTTTTTCTTATACCTTTCTGATGGGACTTGTAACTCTCTAATTGGACTTGACATCAGACTCACCTGCTTGGTCTGGATTCTATGGGGCCAGACCTAAAGACAAGGTACAATGCCTGTTCCCAAAACAAGCACCCACATGGCTCACTTTTGTGTGTGTACTTCTGTATTTGTGAGTGTGGGGAGGGAGTTATTCCAGCACCTCTGGACCTTGTCCCCACTAGATCCAATTTTGTGAGTAGGCGGTAGGATGGAAGATGTCTTCCGTGTGTCCCTGTCACACTAGCAGGCTGTCTCAAATACAGATGACTCTATTTGTCACACAAGCCATAGGGCAATCACCCATCCCAAACCACTTGATTGAAAAAACTCTTAGGAGGTGGCAAAATGAGCCTCCCCAGAGGGGCTTTCCTTACTTCTCTTCTGTGAATTTCTTTTTTTAATTAATTAATTTATTTTAATTGGAGGCTAATTACTTTACAACATTGTAGTTGTTTTTGCCATACATTGACAATGACAAACATTGTGAATTTCTTTACAAGCTTAGCTTCTTTCTACTTTGGAGCAGGATGAAGTATTCCCCCTATTTTGAGTAGGGGGTAGAAGTTGCCTGATAGCTTTTCTACCCTCAATTAGACACACATGATTACACAGTGTACTTTTCTTTAAGGTGCGTGAGTAGGGGGGGGACCTTGAGTTTCTCTGTATAAGTAGTAGAGAAGAGTTTGGCATGAAATGAAGGAAGATCTCAAGTTGAACAGAATTTGCATTTATCAATGATAGTTTAGAATTTTGGAGCCCACCTGTGTTTTGTCTTGTGTTCTGTTGTCTGGATTACTGATCTGGTTCCCTTACTGGGAATCAGTAGAGTGTTACCACTCTGCCATCAGACGCACGTTTGCCTTCTGCTCGAAAGGAGAAAGGAGACCCAGCGATGGCCAGACTCAGAGAGGAGTCCTCCGTGTTGACACGCAATTCTTTCCTCCTGCAGGGGTTGCCCAATCACCATTGGAGAATCACTTTTGTTAATAAGTGCTACAAACTGTGTGACACTTATCCGGCTCTCTTGGTGGTTCCATACCGTGCCTCTGATGAAGATCTCAGGAGAGTTGCAACTTTTCGATCCCGAAACCGAATTCCAGTGAGTACTGCAATTCATGTCTTTTGTAAAGGGTGCCATGAGAATGGTAGTCAAGTAATTCAGAGAAATGCTCTTTTGGAATTTCAGTCCCACAGGTTATTATGAAATGTCTTCTGAGTGCAAAGCAGCAGGCCAAATGGGGAAAGAAGTAAGACATCACCTGCCCACCCCCCAGAAGCTTGCAGTCAAGGACAGAGCATGAACTCAAGTAGTTTTTATATAGGAGAGGGAACAGGTAACACCATGTGAAAAGGAAGAAGGGAGGACAGTGTCTCTGTGGCTTCTCTCTTAGTAGCACAGTGATGAACAAATGTGAGGCTCTTGGTCAGTGTCAGTTGACATGTTGGAAACAACACTAGAAATACCCTATGTTATGGAGCCTGTAAGTACAGGCTTTTACTTAACACCTTTATTTGGATTCGTCTCTCTGCATGACATATGTAAGCTGCATTCAAACCATTAGCAATCTTGAGACAAGTGCGGATTATCCCAAACAGTATATTACAGTATCACTGGACCTAGTTCATAAAGTAGTATTTTGGTTCTTAAATATTTATGGATGAGTTGCACTATAAATCTTATTGACTAAAGTGTCCCTAAATCATATTGACTAAACGTTTAGAGAATTTTTCCCCTCTGTTAGTTTTCAGGGCATCTCATAATAAGGATATTATTTTGTTTTGGTTTTGATTTTGAAAAGCAAAGGTTGAGGAAATTAAACTTTAATGTTATGTCACCTTTGACTTCCAAGTCTAGACATTTTTGTCCTTAAAAGAATATTTGTGTGAAACTTTTGTGTAGTATCAACAGAATATGAATTGTAACTTAAAATGCACTTGGTTCGCTAAGGGCGAGTGTCTGTTCATATCTTCATGAGGTATATAGTATACTTGGAAGTATGGTCTTTAGCTCATTTTGCTAGAATGCTGTGCTAATAAAGCAGAGTTACCAGTGTGCTCCTCTTCTGCTCTGCTGAAACATACTTTTCTGTGTTGTAGCCACAGACTCCACCCCTCTCCTGGCCAGCTGTGTTGCTAAGACATGCCTTGCCCACAGGAGAAAGGGTTAGGATAGTGTGGGTTCATTTTGTTCACTCCTTCATTCGATGAGTATTTATTGAGCATCTACTGTGTCAAAAGTGTGTGTGAGTGCACATGTACATGTGTGTGGATTTCATGCGATTAGGGGCAGGAGAGGAAGTGAAACACCTGAGCCAAGTCCACTGTGCTCAGGCTGCCATGTTTATCCCACGGGTCCCACAGTTGGGAGTGAATGAAAACCCACCATAGAGCAAATAGAATGCTTAGCTTTTTACTTAGCCATTTTATTGATCCTCCTTACCTTGTGATGGGCCCCGATTTGCATTTATTTTTCCTAAAAAAACTTAAGGCTAAACTGTCCATCCCCTCTCTATAGATTACAATGCTTAATAATATCTAATAAGAGATGATGTACTCTTTCTGATACAACTCCTAACCACCAGACTCTTGACTGTAACCCAGGAAATGTATTTCCTTTTAATAATAAATCATTAATATCTGATATTCAGTTCTTTCAAAAAACTCATAAAGATACAAAAAGAATTGATGAGAAAGCAGTCTTATGTTATCCATAAATAAGAGGTATAGTGTTATAAAATATCACTGAATAATAAAATAATCTACATGCATTAATGTTCCCATTAGATGGGTACATATTCCTTTGTTCTCCAACAGGTTGGTCTTAATGTTATTGAATTCTTTAACATAAAATGAACATATATTTATTTATTTTAGACATTTAAAAAAAAACTGTTAAACATCAAGGAGACTGCCACCTAGTGAGGACCACACTTAACATTTTGATATATGTCATTCCAGACTTCCTTCTATGTATACATATTTTTTTTCCATTTATTTTTATTAGTTGGAGGCTAATTACTTTACAGTATTGTAGTGGTTTTTGCCATACATTGACATGAATCTGCCATGGATTTACATGTGTCCCCCATCTCGATCCCCCCCCCATCTCCCTCTCCATCCCATCCCTCTGGATCTTCCCAGTGTACCAGCCCTGAGCACTTGTCTCATGCATCTAACCTGGGCTGGTGATCTGTTTCACCCTTGATAGTATATTTGTTTCAATGCTATTCTCTTAGAACATCCCACCCTTGCCTTCTCCCACAGAGTCCAAAAGTCTGTTCTGTACATCTGTGTCTCTTTTTCTGTTTTGCATATAGGGTTATCATTACCATCTTTCTAAATTCCATATATATGTGTTAGTATACTGTATTGGTCTTTATCTTTCCAGTTTACTTCACTCTGTATAATGGGCTCCAGTTTCATCCATCTCATTAGAACTGATTCAAATGAATTCTTTTTAATGGCTGAGTAATATTCCATAGTGTATATGTACCATAGCTACATATTTTTATTTGAAAAAAAAATGAAATTATTCTGTGGTTTGTGTCTCAATATGCTTTTTCTACCTAGCATTTATCTTGGAAAGAACCTTCCACACTGTTGACTCTCTGGTCATGTGCCAGTATATGGAGTCAACCAGTTTTCTATTGTGAGACATTTAGCTTCTTTCTCACCTTTTTCTATTATAAACAGTGTTTTGGTGACTAAATCTTTGTGTACATCGTTAAATATTTATGGCTTCTACATATTAACTTCAATAAGAATGACCTAATATAATAGCATATACTTTTAAAGCACTCATGGTAGTTGATGTTGTGAAGTTTCCATTATTTGTACCTGGTCTGGCTATATAGCAAGCATCCTTTTTATAAAGGTAGAAAAGAAGAAGAAAAAGCCAGGAAGAGGTGAAACAACTCATAAGAATAGCATTTCTTAACATGGCCTGCTGATTCCAGTCTTTAATCTCCCAAGCAGAGAGAAGTGGGGAAGAAGAGCAGAGAGCACTGGGGAAAGAGGGTCTTCATCAAATAATAAATGTCTTGTATATGCAGCAATTTGCTCTTTTAAAAGTGATCTCGTTTGGGGAATTCCTTAGTGGTCCAGTGGTTAGGACTCTGCATTTCCACTGCTGAGGGCCCAGGTTTGATCCCTGGTTGAAGAACTAGGATCTCTCAAGCCACCTAGTGTGGCCAGAAAAAAACAAAAGTGATCTTGTATCAAATCAATATATTGTACACCTTAAATTTACCTAGTGTTGTAAGTCAAGTGTATCTCAGTAAACCTGAAAAAAATAAAAATATATAGATACATAAAAGTGATCTCACATCTTTTCTCTCTTGGAGACCAAGCCATGGGAGGTGGGCGGGCAGGTCTCACCTCCACACTGTAGATGAGAAAATGGAGCTTGTACCCAGGCTCGCCATTCTGAGCCTTTGGACTCTTAGTCAAGGTCACAGTGGTGTTTTGACTGGGCCCTGGCAGGCTCAGAGACTCAGTTGAATGAGTATTCATTGATATTACCATATAATCTCTTCTCGCTAACCTGTTATATTATTATACATTGCAAATTTTATGGACATCAATGCTTGTACTTTGCCAGAGTGGGGAGGTGACTTCAAAGATGACAGTGTACTTGGCTTTGTATCAAGTCAGCTCGAACACTTCTGCTTCTGCAGTTCTTGTGCCTGATTTTCATGGGTTTTTATACCCTGTGCTGGGTCCATGTGTTCTCCATTTGTCCTCCCAACAGTGCCACACCATCACGTGGCTCCATATTTGGTGAAAGAGGGAAAGGAAGTGACAAGAGGCCGTGAGCTCAGTACCCAGGTCAGAGCCACTGCAAGAGGTGTGCCTGTCCCAGAGCTCATGCTGTCACCCACCATGCTTACCTCCCAGCTCCTGTTTTTTTTTTTTTCCCTTTTAACAGCTTTATTGAGATAGAGTTCACCTGCCAAACTATTCAGTCATTGAAAGTGGACAGTTCTGTAGCTTTGGCTATGTTACATTGTTAGCTTCCTTTTACAGATCTTGTTTCTTAGGTGCTATGAGCTGAGAGACCAGCTAGCAAAGTGTGCTGGGCTTGTGTGTAAAATTAGAGAAGGTTGATTCTGAGAAAAAGCTCAAAGAGCTCTCCCAAGAGGCAGGTGTCCAAACTTCCTTATGGAGACCTTGACAGCTCTATGGCTGTCCTGAGGTTCTGTTTGCTTCCTTTGGGTTTTCTGTGTTAGATTCTAGAATCGAGACTATTGGGAAAATGACTTGCAGGCATGAGTTGAGATTATAGAGACAGGACCAGGGCTGGTTTCCTTTACCTCTCACCTTTTACTGAAGCTGTTTCTGGGTAATGACAAATCCGGTGCAAGCTGCAAGACTAAAATAAAATGTCTGAAGCTTTCTATTTCAAGTAGTGTAACTATTTTTAGGTTAGCATTTAACATTTTTAGATGTGGTACAAATTGAGAAAAAACTAGTCAAGCAATTAGTTGTTCTCATTGGCTCTGAATCATCCTAATAGTTAAACATGTGTTTCTGGGCACACAGGGAAATCAGAGGTGAACAAACATCCTATTTTGGCAAAATCAGTTTCACTTCATCATGATTGTTAGGGCTCTCTTTTTTTATGGTTTTAATTGAGATTTAGTTGTTTTCCCGATAGCTTAAAATTTCTGAACCAACCCTAGGTGCTGTCGTGGATCCATCCCGAAAACAAGACCGTCATTGTGCGTTGCAGTCAGCCTCTTGTCGGTATGGGTGGTAAACGAAATAAAGAGGATGAGAGATATCTCGACGTCATCAGGGAGACAAACAGACAAGTTAACAAACTCACGATCTATGATGCAAGACCCAATGTCAATGCAGTGGCCAACAAGGTGAGTGTATTTCATGACATGGTTCTGCCTTATATACAGAGTGCAGTGTTTCACATGAATGTTGTTGTCATGACCTGTCAACATGTGGATTTAAATTCATTAAACTTTGCTTAAATCAGGAAATGAGTTCACTAAGGTAAAAAGTAGTTTTAATCATAAAACATATCAGAAAAGTTGATTTCCTTAAAATCAAATGAAGGGGGCTTCCCTGGTGGTCCAGTGGTTGAGACTTTGCCTTCCAACGCAGAGGGTGTGGATTTGATCCCTAGTCGGGGAACTGGGATCTCATATGCCTCATGGCCAAAAACCAAAGCATAAAATAGAAACAATACTGTAACGAATTTTAAAAAGACCTTAAAAATGGTACACATAAAGAAAAATCCTTAAAAAAATCAAATGAAAGTCAACTTTTGATAAACTAGGCAAATCTAGAGCTGTAATGAACTTGGGTTTTGGCCAAGATGTCAGGCATGTGTTAGAATCTCTTGGAGCCCTTTAGGCTATTGACGGTCATCCTCAATGTCTACACTATGTCATTCTCAGTGTATACACTAGGGAGGCATCTGTGGGGATTGTGAGAAGCTGTAATTGTTAAAAATCCTAAATTTGTAGCTTTATTCAAGCAGTCTTGTCTCTATACTCAGAAATGTGTGTTCTCATTTATATGAGATAGTCCAAGAAATGAGTAGCTCCATGTATATGAATTTTACAGTTATTTATGCATGCGTGCCAAGTCACTTCAGTCGTGTCCACCTCTTTGTGACTGTATGGATTCTAGCCTGCTAGGCTCCTCTGTCCATGGGATTCTCCAGGCGAGATTACTGAAGTGGGTTGCTGTGCCTTCCTCCAGGGGATCTTCCCAACCCAGGGGTGGAACCCGAGTCTTTTATGTCTTCTGCATTGGCAGGTGGATTCTTTACCACTAGTGCCACTTGGGAAGCCCTGGTGTCAGTGTTTTCAGAGCACTCTTTCTCCGGGGTTTCCTTGGCCTGCTTGAGCAGAGCAGTCATAATACAGAGCAGAGAGTATCACAGTAAAGTGATAAGGCAGTGTTGCCTGCAGGTGTTCCTCAGCAGCTGCTGCGAAGGCCGTTTGCCCCTGCACGACACGGCTCCAGACTCAGAAATACCTTTGACATTCAGTTTCAACTTTGGGGTTTTTTTTTCCCTTTTCTCATTGCCAGTTGTCACTTACACATGTTCACAGTGGGCCTGCCCCATCCCAACTTTCAGATTGATTGCTGCTGGTCAGATGTAGGCTTACATTTCATCATCTTGGATATTTTGCTTATCCCGAAGTCATTTACCTGGCATCTTGGATTATTGAAAGCACAAGGCAAGAGCCTGAAAGCAAAACAAGTCCTGAAGCAGCTCACCTAGATGTGGTAGTTTCCTAAACAGACCCTGTAATGTCTCTCTACATGGGCGTGTGTGTGGAGCTCCATTCACAATTATTTGCTCACAGATCATACACCTGACACCTTTACTCCTGGGGAGCCCCCTGCCCCTCGTGTATTCTTGGACCAGCTATTTGTTACTGCAGTTGATTTGGGTTTAGATAATGAAAATGATTTTGAAATTATCCAAAAAGCAATCATGAAGTGAAATCAATCAATAGATTAGGAATTAGAAGAAAATGTTTAGTAAATTCAGCCCACATATTAGTATCTTGTTGTATTATCCTTACCTTTATATTTCTGCTATCCTTCATGTATAATTCAGAGTTGAATAAATGCATAAAATGAAGTATTTCCATGTATACATTTAGCCTGAAACAGATATGATATAATATTAAAATGAGGTATTTAGAAAGGATATTTTAAGGTATATAGAATGCATAAAATGAATACCTTTATCATATTAACTCTAAAGCTCATTTTTGTAGCAGTAGAATTATTGAATGCCTTTTTAAGACTCAGAAATTTGCCTGTGTGTCTAGTCTGTTTAGGAATGAAAGGAAGGAAAATATTATGGGGGGGTAAAAAAAAACCTATGCTTGAAAAACCTGTGCATCATTCTTTAAAAACCACATTCAGGGTCCCCTCCTCCCTCAGCTGTGTCTTCCTAGCCATCTGTATCCATGGCAACAGTCTGTATTATGTTGTACTAGATAACTTGGGTTGTTCTTTTTTGTTGAAGAGAACTGAAAAGAAAACTTCAAAACTAATCCGAGTTGGAGATTTTGAACTTTTGGGAACTCAATCTGTGCTTGACTAATAGATTTTTACCCTTCTGACTGCTCTTTGAATCTAATTGTCCTGCCCTTATGGCTATTTAGAAATTTACAACCCCAGATGTAACAAGCATTTTATTTTATTTTATTTTATTTTATTTTTTTCCATTTATTTTTATTAGTTGGAGGCTAATTACTTTACATCATTGCAGTGGTTTTTGTCATACATTGAAATGAATTAGCCATGGATTTACATGTATTCCCCATCCCGGTCCCCCCTCCCACCTCCCTCTCCACCCGATCCCTCTGGGTCTTCCCAGTGCACCAGGCCTGAGCACTTGTCTCATGCACCCAACCTGGGCTGGTGATCTGTTTCACCCTAGATAATATACATGTTTCAATGCTGTTCTCTTGAAACATCCCACCCTCGCCTTCTCCCAGAGTCCACAAGTCTGTTCTATACATCTGAGTCTCTTTTTCTGTTTTGCATATAGGGTTATCGTTACCATCTTTCTAAATTCCATATATATGTGTTAGTATACTGTAATGGTCTTTATCTTTCTGGCTTACTTCGCTCTGTATAATGGGCTCCAGTTTCATCCATCTCATTAGAACTGATTCAAATGAATTCTTTTTAATGGCTGAGTTATATTCCATGGTGTATATGTACCACAGCTTCCTCATCCATTCGTCTGCTGATGGGCATCTAGGTTGCTTCCATGTCCTGGCTATTATAAACAGTGCTGCAATGCTGGAGAGGGTGTGGAGAAAAGGGAACCCTCTTACACTGTTGGTGGGAATGCAAATTAGTACAGCCACTATGGAAAACAGTGTGGAGATTTCTTAAAAAGCTGGAAATAGAACTGCCATATGACCCAGCAATCCCACTTCTGGGCATACACACCAAGGAAACCAGATCTGAAAGAGACAAGTGTAACAAGCATTTTAAATTAAACAAACAAACAAAACCCAGAGGCAGACAAGATCCAGCACCCTGTGATGAATTAAAGTGGGGCTGTATTAATGTCTGTTTTGGCAGAAACTTTGGCAATGAATTACTACTTTTTCTGTGTATCATCTTCAGTTATTTAAAAAAGAAACTCCAGCATTTGGAATGTCTTTGGAAAATCAGTAACTGTTCACAAACCACATGTCACGTGTCCATGGGAGGGTGATGTGTGTCATTGTGTGAGAGGCTTGCAGAGCTAGTTCACAGTGGAACAGGCACACTTCTGTTGTGACCTCTGATTGCAGCTGCAAGGTGTTATTCCCTGAAATGTGACCCATGTGCGTGTATATTCGTTAGCTGATAGCTATTTAAAAACAATAAAGTGAATGTTTGTTGTCTACTACTGATGCTATTTGTAGCAAGCTTTAAAAACACATTACTGTTTAAATAAAAAACAATTTCTCACCTGGAGTCTGAAGATCAAGGCCTCTGGCTTGTCTGGAGACATAGGTCTCCAGGTTTGAAGTTCAAGTGGTAGCCTACTTCTACTGCAGGAAACCTTCTCTGTGACTAACCCTGGGAAAAAACCGTAGGATGTATTGGCCCTTCTGTCCCGAGCTACAAATTGTTGTAAATAAAAAGAGAAGAGGTTTTCTGTGGCAGTGGCAGGCATGTGGTTTGTCTGTCCTCGGCTTTGACTGTTTACTTACCTTTACTTGTGAGTTTACATATTCATATGTTTTTATGATGTTAATTAGCATCCTTCCATTTCTGCTTGCTTTCTTCACAGGTTCCTGAATGATTTAACCTTTTCTTAAAAGGCCAGAGGCCATGTGTTCCATGGCATTTTCAAACATTAAGCAGAAATCAGCCCAGTTCCTAAACAAAATTGTAGCATTTCTTTTTGTCTTCATGGAAAACAGGCATCTTCACGACCCTGTGAAGGGGAAGTGATGCCCACCCTGGCAGGTTGATGCTGGCAGGCACCATGGCAGGTGGCAGCCATCTCATCTCTTGAAACCTTTTGTCCTTTGAGGGCCAACACGTGCAGCACTGTCCCTGGTGTTTTTGCATAGCACACGGACAGTCATGGGGCACTAGAAAAGGTTCAGGCTTTGAAATCAGATGACTTAAATTCTATTGCTTACCTCTGACTTTGGGTGTAGTTAAATAGCATCTGTTATCATTTGCAAAATGGAGATAGTAATAGCTGTCTTGTAGCATTGTTGTAAGAATTAGATACAATGATGTAAAGCAAGAATCGCCGTATCCAGGATGTCAGAGAGGCTCATTAAATGGTGGCTGATGTTAGCTGTTATAGAGCCCAGCTCCTTTTAATCTTAGGAGACCTCAATAGTATTATCTCCTGTTCTTCAAGAGACAGCATTGAGGCTCAGAGAGGTTAAGTGCTTTGCCACAGGTTGCACAGCAAAGAGGGGCTGAAGCTGAGCTATCAACCTGCGTCTGTCTCCAAAGCCTGTCTTTTTCCTCTAGCTCATCGTGTCCCATGTGAGCCTGCCCTTGTAGTACTGTTAAAATCGGATAGAAGATGAGAACCATTCAGAACCAGCTCTTGCCTTTCCAGATCCAGAAGAAGAGCTAGTAATTAGAGAACATTTTGAAAATGATTTTTTCTTGCAAATACAGATTCCCAGGAAATTGCCAGCTCCCCATCATTTTTTTCCAGCTCAGAGTGTGACTAATAAATATTGTTGAGGCCTAGTCAGATAGGAAGTCAAGTCACATCAATTATTAAATCAAAGTTGCAAGGTTTTAGGTTAAGATTTGGAGGACTAATAACCTTTGAAATATTTGTGTAAGTAATGGAAGAAATAGAAAACCCAGCTTACTGTTTTGTGTGTGTCTTGTTTCTTAGGCAACAGGAGGAGGATATGAAAGTGATGATGTGTATCATAACGCCGAACTTTTCTTCTTAGACATTCATAACATTCATGTTATGCGGGAATCTTTGAAAAAAGTCAAAGACATTGTTTATCCTAATGTGGAAGAATCTCATTGGTTGTCCAGTTTGGAATCTACTCATTGGCTGGAACATATCAAGGCAAGTATATGTTTTGAAAAAAGATGTATATATATAAAAAGGAAATAATTGTTCAGTGAAACAGGAAATTGTTTTAATTCCTTAAATTGAAAAAAAAATTGAACAGTGAGAGAAACAATATTTGTTGTATAGGGCCAAAAGTTTGTGTTTCTTTACAATTTACAATTTGCTTACCTGAACTAAAGATATTCTTGAGAGTTTGTGGAGATATCACTTTCCAACTCAGGTTTATGTAACCATTACTGCATATGACCTTCAAGAATCTGGAGCAATTGTTTTTATTGAAACTAATCTCAATGGACTTAAAGAATGAGTTTCGTGTTTTTACTATAGTCAATCCTTTGTCTTGATAGAGGTATCAAAAAGCTCCATTCTTTTAAAAGTACTTGAAACTATGTGAGAAAGCTAACAACTTTAGGAACTGCAATTTATTTCTGTAAACAAACAAGGGACTTCCCTCGTGGTCTAGTGGTTAGGGGGTCTGTGCTTCCACTGCAGAGGGTGCAGGTTTGATCCTTGGTTGGGGAGCTTATGTATGCATTTATATTCTCCCAAAGTTTATATGTTGATACCCTGACGCCCAGTACCTTAGGGTGTGACCTTATTTGGAAAGAGGGTCATTGTAGATGTGATTGGTTACAACAGCTTCGTACTGGGGTAGCGTGGACCCTTAATTTGATAAGGCTGGTGTCCTTATGAAAAGGGGAGATTCAGACACAGAGACATGCTCAGAAAGATACCATCTGAAGATTGGAATTATGCTGCCAGAAGACAGGAACTACCAGAAGCTTCAAGACAGGCCTGGAACAGGTCCTTCCCTTGAGCCTTCAGAGGGAGCATGACCCTGCCCATACCTTGATCTTGGACTTCTAGCCTCCAGACTTAAGAGATGATATATTTCTGTCGTTTAAGCCCCCAGTCTGTGTGACACTATTACGATAGCCCTAGTGAACTCTTATAATCACATATGTGAAAGAAGGTTTGACATGTAGTTTGGCTTTGTGTCTGTTTGTCTTGTTTTTTAATAGCTACTTACCTCAGCTTCCCTGTTGGTAAAGAATATGCCTGTAGTGTGGAAGACATGGGTTCGATCCCAGGGTCAGGAATATCCCCTGGAGAAGGGAATGGCAACCCATTCCAGTAGTCTTGCTTGGAGAATTCATGGACAGAGCAGCCTGGCGGGCTTATAGGCCATGGGGTCGCAAAGAGTTGGACATGACTGAGTGACTGACACTTTTCACTTTCACTTTGTCTTTGAAAGTAGTTTCTGCAGAGGAAAAACAACAAACCTTGTAGTTCCTGGCCTTCCGTTTTCAGAACCTTTTCCGTTCTAGATGTTAAGAGTATTTTAAAAGCAGGACTTTTTACTAGGGTTAAAGGCTTTAAGTTCAATTTTAAGCAGTCCCTTCCAGCTGGCCATTTACTCGCATGAATTTCTTTGCCAGCTTGTTTTGACGGGAGCCATCCAGGTCGCAGACAGGGTTTCTTCGGGGAAGAGCTCGGTGGTGGTGCACTGCAGTGATGGTTGGGACAGGACGGCCCAGCTGACGTCCCTGGCCATGCTGATGTTGGACAGCTTCTACCGGAGCATCGAGGGCTTCGAAATATTGGTCCAAAAAGAATGGATCAGTTTTGGACATAAATTTGCATCTGTAAGTAAACAAAACTGATTTTTAAATTATCTGGTCATTACCACCTAGGATTAAAAAAAAAAACTAGTTTGTGAAACCACTGATTTCCTTTTAAAAAGAAAATCTGAGTAGTAGTATAAAAAAACACTCTGCAGGTTTGAAAATGCGTGGCACCTTGGGTTTAGCCAGTCTTTTCAGGAGACATGTTCATCCATCTGTGCCATATACAGTTTCACTTGAAAGTGATATGGAAAGTTTCAGTTGTAATTGTACAAAAGAAGGAAGATGCTCCTTTCTCGACTAATATTATAACTACTAGAGCCAAATATTTGTAGATATGCTAGACTTTGTTGAGACTTTTGCTATTTTCTGATAGATATTTTGAAGACCAAGAGAACCTATTAAAATGTCTGTTTGCCAGTCTGGTTTCCAGACATCCTTTGAATAAGCATTTTGAACAAGTTCCACGGATGGTTCTGCTGAAGTGAACCCATAGACCGTTTTAGAAACACTGCTGTGTAGCCTTTTAGCCTGCATCTAAATTTCATAAGTACTGTGAACAGCATTGTCAAGTAGAAAGAATCATTGTTAATGGTGAAGTTTTTGACTTGTTTTCGAGAAAGAACTTTTTTACAAATAATTTTTTAATTATAATAATCACACCCTTTTGGATATGGTTTCAAGATATGAAACTTTCAGATTGGTCCCTTAGCAACTGGTAATAGTCTGCGGGGTGATCTGCTCTAGTCTACCTGCAGCTGCACAAAATTCTGATCGGATAAAATAGTTGTAATGCTCACATAGGATCATGATGCTTTCTCAGTTTGTATTGATATTTTATAGAAGTTTATAAGCTTAATTTCCATTGTTTTGAAACCTTACATTATTTTCTTTATTGCCATGGGGAAAAGTACTATTCCCTCTCTGAGAAACTTGGTGTTTGGAAGGCAGATTGCTGAGTTGTAACTGTCACATTTTGTGGGTTATACCTTTCTCAGTTTTAAAACAAATTATCAATTCCTTTCAGAGAATAGGTCATGGTGATAAAAACCATGCCGACGCTGACCGATCTCCTATTTTTCTCCAGTTTATTGATTGTGTATGGCAGATGTCAAAGCAGGTAAGAGATATATTGGATGAAAATACATTTGATTTAATCTTTAAATATCTTGATACTATATCTGGGATTTGCATCAGACTAACACAGGGTAGAGTTAGAGATACAAGTTTGGCCATGTGCAAATAATTCTGGACACCGGGTGATGGGTACATGGGGTTCACTTTTTTAATCCTCACTACTATTTATATTGACTGGAATTTTTCATAATAAAGTTTTTAAAATTTAATATTTAACTATACTCTCTCTGCTAATGGAGGAGCAATGCAATTGACACCACCAGTCATCGTTTCCAATTTATCCTACGCTGGTGTTTGTGTATGGGCACGTCTGCTCCCTTAGACGGCTGTAAATAATTAAATCACCTCAAATTTCCTGTATGCTCAGGAGAACCCAGAAAATGGGCTTGTTTTCCCATTTTGACTCTTTATTCCTTTACTTGATGCTCATTTATGCTCTCCAGCCCTGGGCAGAGCACCAACAGATGAGCTGTAGGGCGCTGCAGACCTCAGTCTCAGCTGTCTCCCCAGAACAATTATGCACCTCTTCTTAGCTCTATGAGATCAGCCTCAGGTTTTTATGTTTTCCTTACCTGTTTGTTTCTGTCTAGTTCCCTACAGCTTTTGAATTCAATGAACGGTTTTTGATTACAATTTTGGATCATCTATATAGCTGCCGCTTTGGTACATTCTTATACAACTGTGAATCTGCTCGAGAAAAACAGGTGAGTGAAAAATGCTCATCTTTTTAGTTGAAGGGTCACCAAAATGTGTCTAGTCTGCCATGATATACAAAGAATTTGATGGCTTGGCTTGTGGTGCATGTAGAGTGTCTCATTTTGTACCCCACACTTGGGCGTTTTCACTTCAACCAGAGGTTATTGAGTTTGTGGTGTGGCCTTCATGAGTAAGACGTTGACTTTTCCCTTAGAGAATAAGAATGATTTTTTTGTTGAGGTATAGATGATTTACAGTACTATGTAAGTTTCAGTATATAACACAGTGATTCAATAGTTTTATAGATTATACTCCATTTAAAGTTCAGTTCAGTTCAGTCACTCAGTCATATCTGACTCTTTGCGACCCCATGGACTGCAGCACGCCAGGCTTCCCTGTCCATCACCAATTCCCAGAGCTTACTCAAACTCATGTCCATTGAGTCAGTGATGCCATCCAACCATCTCATCCTCAGTTGTCCCCTTCTCCTCCCGACTTCAGTCTTTCCCGGCAGCAGGGTCTTTTCAAATGAGTCAGTTCTTTGCATCAGGTGGCCAAAGTATTGGTGTTTCAGCTTCAGCACATTAAAGTTATTATGAAATAATGGTTATGTTTCCCAATGCTGTATATCCTTGTAGCTTATTTAGTCTATACCTAATAGTTTGTACCTGTTACTCCCCTACACCTATACTGCCCCTCCCACCTTCCCTCTCCCCACTAGTAATCACTAGTATGTTCTCTATATTGGTGAGTCTGTTTCTGTTTTACTATATTTCTTCACTTTTTTTATAGACTCTTCATATAAGTGGAAGCATACAGTATTTCTCTTTCTCTGACTTATTTCACTGAACATAATCATCCCCTCCAGGTTCAGCCATGTTGCTGCAATTGGCAACACTTAATTCTTTATGGCTGAGTAGTAGTTCATTGTATATACATGGCACATCTTATTTGCCCACTCACCTGTTGATAGACAGTTACGTAGCTTACATATCTTGGCTATTGGAGTAAGCATGGCTATTAAAGGCATGCAAGGTCACCCTCCCAAAACACCATAAAAATGTCAGTAAGGGAAAATTTTTAAAAGGCATTAACCCACAAGAACAGGGGGAAATAGGAACGGAGACACAGCAACAAACTTGGGACCTGGAAAGATAGTAGATAAGTGGAAAGTAACTTCACTTGAGAATCTCATACCAGCAGTAGGGAGGGCAAGAACCAGTCCATTTTGCATCGCAGGAACCCCAGATGACACAGGGCTTCTGGGACAAAGGGGGAGGGATAAGATACCCTGAAGGTGTGTTTAGAATACGCAGGCAGCTTTCCTGGGTCACCCCCACCCATCTCTGGAGTTGAGGACAGAGGTTTCTTCTCAAGAAAGAGTGAGAGTAGGTCTCCAGGCTGGAGACCCGAGTGTCATCAGGGGTTGAGTAAATGGAACAGCTGGCCTGCGAGGGCCTCGACCCATGTTCCATGCTGACTCCTCACATCCTGGCAGCAGGTCCTTATCTTTCAGGTAGGAGCCTTCTCTGTTGGCAAGGAAGGAGAGAGAAGGGAACCCTTGGATGTTGCTGGTGGGGGTGTAAAATATCATGGGAGCCAGAATTTCTACTCCCGAGTATGTACCCAAGAGGGAGGAAAACAGGGGTAAGGCAAAAACTTAGTGCAGAGCAGCCCTACTCATAATGGCTAAAAGGCCTCAACAATCCCATCATCCATCAGCTGATGAACAGACAAACTAAATGTGGTCTGTCCATTCAATGGAATATTATCCAGCTGTCAGAAGGAATGGAGTTCTCACCCACATCACAAATGGATGACCCTTGAAAACATGCTTACTGAAAGGAGTCAGACATAAAAAGGCACATATGATATGATTACATTTATCTGAAATGTCTAGAAAATCAAGTCCATAGAAACAGAAAGCAGACTAGTGGTTGACAGGGGGCTGAGGGAGGGGAGAATGGGGAGTTCCTTCTTAGTGTATACGGGCCTTCCTTTGGGGATGATGAAAATGTCTTAGCACTTGACAGAGGTGGTGGTTGCACACCACGGAGAAAGTACTAAAAGCATTTTAGTACTAAAAGTCTACCATTGTAGACTAAAATGATGAATTTTACGGTATGTGAACTACACTGAACTTCATAAAGCAGAAAGAATCATCTCTGGAGAAACTGACTAGCCCAAGAAGGACCTCAGCATTTGCTGAGTCATAGCAATCTAAACCCTAAACATGGATCTCATCAAAGCTATGCTATATATTGGGGGTTCCCAGGCAGGGCAGAGGGTGTGAGCACAGCAGCATGGGGTGGGAACCATTCTCCCTGTGACAGTGTCAAGAGTTAATGCCTGTAAATGTGTAGTCAAAAAGTAGCAAGAGGATGGTGTTTCTCCAAGATGTGGAGGTAAGTACCAAATAACCAGATACATTTAAAAAGTCAAACACAGTTTTTGTTTGGGGGAGAAAGGTGAGAGACTGCTTCTTCCATAACAAACCTTGTCTAGCTGTTTGACTTTAAGTCAACTGTGTGCATGTGTAAAAATAAAAACAAGCATGCAAAAAAAAACAAAACAAGCATGCAAATAAAGACAAGGCAGTGTAGATTGTGGTGGAGAAGGCAATAGAAACCCACACCAGTACTCTTGCCTGGAAAATCCCATGGACAGAGGAGCCTGGTAGGCTGCAGTCCATGGGGTCGCTAAGAGTCGGACATGACTGAGCAACTGCACTTTCACTTTTCACTTTCATGCATTGGAGAAGAAAATGGCAACCCACTCCGGTGTTCTTGCCTGGAGAATCCCAGGAATGGGGGAGTCCAGTGGGCTGCTGTTTATGGGGTCGCACAGAGTCGGACACAACTGAAGTGACTTAGCAGCAGCAGTGTAGATTGTGGCATCCAAAAGGGTGAAAAGAAGTTTTAGGTGGATCCCAAGAAGGCAAAATTATGCTGCTGTTATTACTATTCACATTCACAAAATCTGTATGTTCAAGGGACTTCTTCAGTCACTTATTTCAAGCTGTTCTTTCCAGCTGCCACTTTTATCTTATTAGTCCTTTCTTCTTGATTTTTTTAAATTTACATATATTTTAATTGAAGGATAATTGCTTTACAGAATTTTGTTGTTCTCTGTCAAACATCAACATGAATCAGCCATAGGTGTACATATGTCCCCTCCCTCTTGAACCTCTTATCACCAGAAAGAGTTTCCAGTTCTGCCTTCAATAATTTTGATACTTGCCCTTTTATTTCCCAAGTTTTGATTTTCCTCTATTTATGATCAGAACTGGTAAAAAAAAAAAACCCTATAATTGAAAATCAATGAGGATATGAACATCTGTATGAAATGATGGGCACCAGACGGAAAAAGTGAAGCTTCACTGAAGTCGGGTATCCAGGTGTTTCAAATATCTGGATATTGGCATGATACATTAAACCTCTGGATGTTTCGTTAACCTAACTATCTAGATGCAAACTGTCAGGTAGACCCAGGTTAAGATTTTGTAGTTTGAACAAACACAAAAATGGAAAAAGTCAGTGAGATCTTGTGATAATTTTTGCTTGCTGCTGAATTCAAAAGAGCATGGTGCCCATCTGTCATGAATGTTTTTCCAGCCAGGAATAGTTTTCTTAGGTCAGTGAATTGCATTTAATGTTACAGCATCCTGCCCCTCTCTCTTCCGGCAAAAACAGAGGCTCTCAAGCCATTATGTATGCAAATATCAGGAAGTGGTGCTCAGCACTCCGGGCACAGGAGGCTTTTTGAGCTATTATGGGGATAATGTACATGTGTGATTCAAGTTGACACTCAGCTGTATCGCCGCAGCCTGAAAAATGGTTTGTGTACTGGGGTGTATTTTTACTTAGGCTTTCCACTTTCTCTTTCCTCTAGAAAGTTACAGAAAGAACCGTTTCTTTATGGTCACTGATCAACAGTAATAAAGACAAATTCAAAAATCCCTTCTACACTAAGGAAATCAATCGAGTGTTATATCCAGTTGCCAGTATGCGTCACTTGGAACTTTGGGTGAATTACTATATTAGATGGAACCCCAGAATCAAGCAACAAGTAAGTGAAGTAGCATTGTGAATACAGTGATGTCAAATGAGTACTAGCTCGGGACTTTGATAATGTTATGTAGTAGTTATTTAAAAATATTATGAAAGGAAAAATAGCAGAGTAAAAAAATGACACTTGCTTTTAATCCCAACTTCAGTTAAAAACTGTTTTTAATGCCTAAACCATTTATTTTGATTGCTGTTGAACTAATATTTTCCTGCCAACATGAGTAATGCAGTTTTTTAAAACTAAAATCTAAGCTATTTTTTTTTATTGGAGTATAGTTGCTTTACAATGTTGTGTTAGTTTCTCTGAACAGCAAAGTGATTCAGCTATGTGTATACGTGTGCTGTGCTTAGATGCTCAGTCATGTGTGACTCTTTGCAACCCCATGGACTGCAGTCCACCAGGCTCCTCTGCCCATGGGGATTCTCTAGGCAAGAATACTAGCGTGGGTTGCCATGCCCTCCTCCAGGGGATCTTCCCGACCCAGGGATCAAACCCAGGTCTCCCACATTGCAGTCAGCTTCTTTGCTGTCTGAGCCACCGGGGAAGACCAAGAATACTGGAGTGGGTAGCCTGGCCCTTCTCCAGGGGATCTTCCTGACTCAGGAATCGAACTGGGGTCTCCTGCATTGCAGGAGCTACCTGCACTACCACCTGAGCTACCAGGAAGCCCATATGGATACATATATCTCCTATTTTTTGATTTCCTTCCCATTCAGGTCACCACAGAGCATTGAGTAGAGTTCCCTGTGCTCTACAGTCAGTTCTCATTAGTTATCTATTTTGTACATAGTAGTATATACACGTCAGTCATGATTTCACAATCCATTACAGCCCTCTCCCCCACCTTGGTATCCATAAGTTTGTTCTCTACATCTGTGTCTCTATTTCTGCTTTGCATATAAGTTCATCTATGCCATGAGATGTAAACGAATTTAAATCTCTGGAAAATTTCTGAGTGTTTAAAGTCAAGGATTTCCTTTAATGACTAAAAGTTGTTAACACCTCATAAGAAGGTTCTTTCCAGCAACTAAGCTGAGATAATCCTTCAAGGAAAAGAAACATTTTCTATTATCTATTCACATCTATGTACTTGTCAACTAATATCAGAGTGCTTTTTACCGAAAGTCTTTACTTCTAAAATAAAGATAATTGATCTGTCAAAGGATAGTACAGTCAATTGGCCATTTATCAGTCAAACATGCAAACGGTGATTTTTGAAGCAAAAGACTCCACATTTTATTAAAGGCACAGTCAGGCTTTCTCCCACTCCTACTGCATCCAAGATCAGAAGGAAAGTCCAGCCTATTTGTGAGGGCTCAGCAGTACATCCATTGAGTGATTTGTTCTAAGCACTGTAAATATTAAGTATTTGCAATCACTCTTTCTAAAGATTTGCACACTTCCTGCGGTTAGGATGGTTGAATACCTGTTCTCCCAGGCCAGTCTTACATAAGTGTCAGCTTTAATCCCACTACACATAGTCAGGCAATAGAAGGGTCCGGTGCTCAGTCTGACTCTGGATTGTTTATCCCACTCAGGCAGCTGGCTACACGCCAGTGTGTATACCCTCTTGCCACCAGGGAGATGCACGTTTAAGCTGGCCCTCTTGTTTTAAGGTCTGCTTGCTTGCCTGAAAGCCTTTTGCAGTTTCATGATGGTTGAAGTGTATGATCTTTTGGAAAGTGACAGATTCCAGGGCTTGAGAACATTCACTTGTTTAGTTTAGAATTTGAGAAGTACACAGAGGGAGTGTATTTAGCTGTAGTTCGAGCATTTGGAACATCAAATAAAGAGGAAATAGGAATTTTCCCAAGATTCTAAGCACTGTTGCACGGGACATGTTTCTTTACTGGTTAAAAAATACTATATAGATGAGCCCTGTTTCTCCTATAAATTTTACCTTTTCTGTATTTATCATGGCTTAAAAAAGATAACTGTTGGTGATTAGAAAATGTTGATAGTGTACAGATTCTGTAGTCTCTTCTCCTCATCCATCCGTACTTGGAGAAGCTCTTGAAATTCCATGCACTTAGAGCAATTCACTTATCACATACAAAGGTAATGAGAATTGTGTGACAAGTCAGGTTTTCAGTGACATCACTGGAAGAACTTACTATGACGTGTCTCTCCCCCTTATTCTCCCAGAACTGAGCCAAATGGAACTGAGCCAGGTAGGAGTGAAAATTTCTTTGATTGAGGTTTTTATTTTGAGACAGCGATTGGTCTATATTATGATCTGTGCGATTTACTCCAAGAAAATAACTCACCTTTCCTATATAGATTTTCTGAATGTCAAGAGTCCTTTATACATCTTTGTGTCATTTGGCATCTTGCATTTCATCTGCCAAATACCATGCATCAGGCACTGGGAGGACCCAGAGATTAACAAGAGCTGGTTTCTGTCCACAAGGAGCTCCCAGACTGCAGGGGCACCCAGGAACAGAAGTTGATGATCAAGCTCGAGGAGAAGTGTGAACTAAGTGCATCAAATTTCCCAGAAGATCTTATGCAGAACATTATTTCATACAGAAATAGATTACAATCCAATCACACAGGACTTTTCAAAATCTATAATGTAAACCTAAAAGAATATACTTAACCACTGAAATTGTTCTTCAGTTGTGTGGCCTGGTTGATATACAGGTAGTTGTTGAATGCCAGGGGCATTCACAGCACTATGGTAAACTATCAGTGTTGAAAGATGTAGAAACATATCCAGCCTCTCCCCACAGTGAATTATTCCCCGAGAAGAAGGCAGGGCTAGGCTAATGTGCTTTTTTACAAGCGGAATCCACTGGCCCTTGCTACAACTTCAAAACTGAGAGTTGATGGCAAGACCAATTCTTATATTTGACAAGCTGTGAAGAAGCAAACTTGGTACTTTTATTTAATATGAGGAAGTTGTTCAGGCCAAAAGCCAATGGAGAATTTAGTCCCGTAAACCTCAGTGAGACCTTCAGCTGCTGGTGTGTTGCATATTGTCTTTGGGGACGTCTGCACTCCACGTGGCTCTGAACCAGGGTTGCCCCAGGTAGATCCTGTTTTACTCAGGATGACAACAAGGACAGATCTTCACAGGCTTATCTGGGTGGGGTTTAAGTCATTTCTGATAGAAAAGTTAGAAAGGAATATGAATATGAAAATAAGTTGAAGCCTATAATACCTGGGTAGCCACTGACTGCCTGTGCCTGACATGCTCCTTACTTCATACTTCTTTCCCCTAAGGACACATCGAGGTGTGGGATTTACAGGCACTTGACTATGAATTTCATTTCTTGATGTTCTGTCCTGTGATATGCAGTCACAAATGGACTCTTTCCTTCTATTATATCCCTAAATTGGTTCTCTTTGTCTCTAGGGTAATGACTGCTAGACATCTTTTGTACCCACTACCAAACTGAATGATCTTTTTATTTCTAATAGTTTTCTAACTCTATAGCCTTGTCCATCATTGGCAAAAATGATTGTTTTACCTCTCATTTCTTTTTTCTTGTCTTGCTGGTACAATAACAAATAGATTCTAGTAGTCATATGGAAAAGAGAAGTTTTAAAAATATCCAAGAGCATTTTGGAGGAGAGTGTTGAGGAAACCCTTGACCTGAGACGTTAGGACTTATCTGAAGCAGAACAGAACCCAGAAACAGAAATCGGAGATGCGGAGGCTGGGGAGGGGGAAGAATGGACCATCGATGGTAAATGTGTAGTGGTCCATGGTCCTGGCACAGCAAACGGAGCCAGTGCACATGGAGTCCTCTTCTCCAAACCTGCTACTCCCACTGGCTTCTGCATCTCAGTGCTTGGCAGCTCCATCCTACATGCCCTGACCAGAAACCTGAATGGCATCCTTTTCCCCCACTTTAAAAACCAGCCTTATTGAGGTATAATGATACATAATAATCTGCACATGTCCAAAGTGTGTAGTGCAGTAGGTGTTCATATGTGTCTGTACACGGATCGTGCACACACCCATTGCCAGCAAACACTCCCGTCCGTGTAGGTGAGCTTCCATTTAGCACACAGTCATCCTCGCCTTCCCTGTTCTCTTGCCACTTGTCCCAGGCTGTCAGGAGAGCTTGCAGGGCTCCCAGCCTCCTCACTGACGCCTCTTTCTCGCACACCCTGCTTTGGCCACACTGGGCTCCTTGCTCAGCCTCGAGACCCTCAGCTGTCTGCCCAGCCACCTCCCTCCCCTCCCCGCAGCCCTCCCCTAAGAGTCACCTTCTCAAGGTGACTCACCCCCACCACCCTGTTGAGAGTGTCACTCACCCCCAGTGTGTCCCTGTCCCTCCCACCATGCTCTACTTTTCTGTAGTCCTTTTCACCTTCCACGTCCTGTGGACCTCCCAGGGTCATCGTTGTCTTTGCTGTTTGTCTGTCTCCCCCTGCTGGAAAAGAAACACCACAGAAGTGGGAGTTTGGACCTCCTTTAGGTGGCACTAGTGGTAAAGAACCCACCTGCAAATGCAGGAGACAGGAGACCTGCGTTCCATCCCTGGGTCTGGAAGATCTCCTGGAGGAGGGCATGGCAACCCACTCCAGTATTCTTGCTGGGAGAATCCCATGGACAGAGGAGCCTGATGAGCTACAGTCCCTGGGGTCACAAAGAGTTAGACACGACTGAGCACGCGCATTCACTGCTGAATCCTGAGCCCCTGGAGCAGTGTCCAGCTCGCAGGGGAGCATATACAGAGAAAAACAGGCAAAGGGTATCAAGGGGCAGTGCACAGCACTTACTGGGCGTCAGTCGCTCTACACGCATTCCTGTTCGCATGCCAGTATGCGTGAAAACCTCACATTCTACAGAGCCATACAGTAAAAAGAACAGGGGCTCACAGGAAGGGTGGGGCTAGGAGGGAGGTGGAGACTTCTCCAAACCCTGCCCCTTTGTAAGCAGAGCGCTGAGGAGAGCACCAGTCAGGCCTTGGAAGGCTGTAGCAGGTTGAATGGGGGCCCCCAAAACACACATCCACTTGGAACCTGTGAATGTGACCTTACTTGGAAAAGGGGTCCTTACAGATGTGCTTGAGTTCAGAATATCAAGATGAGATCCTCCTATATTTAGTTAGGCCCTAAATCTGAGGACAGGTGTCCTCATAAGAAAAAAGAGAGGAAGATTTGAAAGCCAGACACATACACGAGATGAGGCTGTGTAAAAACAGAATGATTGCAGTGCTGCGGCCACAAGCCAAGGAAGCCTGGAGCTGCCAGAAGCTGGTAGAGGCAATGAAGTCTCCTCCTCTAGAGTCTGGCAGCCATAGGAAATGAATACAGTCTTAGCTCCTGTCATCTTCTCTGATGCAAGTCCCAAAGAGCATTACAAGTCAGATCTAGGGTATAGCCTTCTTCATCAGTGTAGCGTCTTCATGGCTTCCTCATTGGTACTTGCAGCTTCAGCATGCAGCTTGAAGTGAAAGTGAAAGTCACTCAGTTGTGTCCAACTCTTTGTGACCCCATGGACTATACAGTCCATGGAATTCTCCAGGCCAGAATACTGGAGTGGGTAGCCTTTCCCTTCTCCAGGGTATCTTCCCACCCCAGGGATCGAACCCAGGCCTCCCACATTGCAGGTGGGTTCTTTTACCAGCTGAGCCACCAGGGAAGCCTAAGAATACTGGAGTGGGTAGCCTATCCCTTCTGGATCTTCCCGACCCAGGAATCAAACTGGGGTCTCCTGCATTGCAGGTGGATTCTTTACCAACTGAGTTATAATGCAGTGGAAAGCAGGACAGTTCTAGAAGCCACTAGCTGTAAAGGAAGGCACTTCAATACACTTTTGGCAAACTGGAGATTCACACTAGGCTGCCCGTTGGGGCCAGTGTTCTCTGTCATACATTAATACGGACAGTAGAATGTTAAAAGTTGTGTTAAGGCACAGTGATACAAACTAAACCTTGGTACCATGAGGTACCAAGTTATACTCATCAAATTGGCAAAGACTGTTTCTCTCACATTGCCAAGCACTGGTGACTGGGAACCACCAGGCACCACTAGTGAGACGGTAAGATCATCTCCCCACCTCAGAACAGTCGGACTGCATGTGGTCAAGTGGAACTGATCATACCGTTCTCTTCAGCAGTTCCGTCCCCACACACCAGAACAATTCCTTCAGGTAGCATTCATATACTTGCCTGAGTAGACACGTCCAAAGATGGCCCAGCATCACCTGTAATACTGGTTACCATCCCCCTGTGGGGGATAGATAGAGTAGCCGTGGTTTATGTATTCCATGGAACTCAACTGAGATCCAGTTCAGAAACATAGTGGCAGATCAAAATGTGGATTGAGAACTAGAGAAAACCACCATTGAAGTCCAGTTTTACCAAGTAGAAAAGAATGGTGTATTTTGTTTCTGGATATTCACTTAGAGAAAAAGGGTCAAAAGTCTGCACAGGAAGGAAGTCTGCACCCCAGCCTGAGAAGGTTTGTTGCCTCTCAGAGCGCAGCGGGGACAGGTGACACAGCAGCCCGGACCTATGCCTGGATAGATGCATTTTAAAAAGATGGTGACACATGTGTGTGGAACTGTGTGTTTGAGTTATTTCTTGGTGGCAGATAGCTGGATATCTTTTTATTATCATGAATCTTTGTACTTTTCTGTATTTGCAAATTGTGCATTGTTGTAGGAAATGATTTTCTATTAACGCCCAATGACAGGGTTTGTTCAGAAAGCAGCAGCCGCAGCAGATGGGGGCACAGGTGTGTCTTGGCAGAAAGCACTCACATCTTTCCTTCTGTCCAGCAGCCAAACCCAGTGGAGCAGCGTTACATGGAACTCTTGGCCCTACGTGATGAGTACATCAAGCGCCTTGACGAATTGCAGCTTGCCAACTCTGCCAAGCTTTCCGATCCCTCGGCCTCACCTTCTAGCCCTTCACAAATGATGCCCCATGTGCAGACTCACTTCTAACAAAGAAAAAAGTGGACTTTTCATTCGGGGCCTCTGTACAAAGTAGGTTAAACTATTTGCCTCCATTTAGAACTTGAACTAACATAATCTTAAACTCTTGAATATGTGCCTTCTAGAATACATATTGCAAGAAAACTACAGTGTCTACATGGCAATCGGAAGAAAGGAGCCCAGATGGGGTTTTGGAAAATCCTGATACCTTCCAAAAGTGGTTTTTGAAAGATAATATTTAAATCATATTTACCTCTTCAATCTCTTCAGAAATATTACGTGTACAATATGTACTTTGTGGGCCTCATTGGAACAACGGCATTTTTAACTAAAGGGGGAAAATGTATGTTTATGAGATGGATTTTCCTCAGACTGCTTATAATAGTTGCTTTGGGTGATCTAAAATGAACCTAAATGTGAAAGATGTGTGTTCCTGCCAAAACCAAACTGAGCTCAGCTTCCAAGGCATGATCCAAAAACAAGGTGTTTAAATAATTGCCAAATTTCACACCATCATATGTGTGATGACTTGAGAAATAGCTGTGTAGATGAGTTTTCCATTATTTTGAAATTTTGGAATATGAAGTATTTTCCCCTAATTTCCAAGAGAAGCATATTTTTATATTAAAAAAAGATAGGGCCCAGTTAAATATGATTTGATTATTTTTAACATTGTTACTTCTGTTTCCTAAGTTCTTTCATGAGCTTGCCTAGAATTCTGACCTGTTTTCAGGTGGTGGAAAGCCCTTCTCTAGCACTGTTTGAAGATGTTGGATGCATTATGCTGCTTACGTGAATGTTTTCGCAAATGTTGCTCTAGTCAAACTAGCTTATCTGCCAAAGTGTCGGGTTGACCATCTTGGATGTGTGAGCTGTCGCTAGAGCAGCAGCCTCTGAAATAAAAGCCACAGATGTACATTTGTTGAGCGTATTCTTGAAAGTATGGTGTTTATGAATTTCAATTTCAGTGGTGTTTGACACCCTTTCCCACCCAAGAGTGCATAAAAACTGGTTCTACAAATTTTTACTTGAAGTACCCAGCGGTTTGCTTTTTCAGGTTGTTTTCTTTTTTTGTAGTATTAAATGCAATTTCAAATGCAGTTCTATTTGATATCTGAACTAATTCATTTAGTCAGTATATTTGTAAAAGTTAAAGCTAGAGTTAAAAAGCAATTAATGTGTTTTACAATGATTTGTAAAGGTCTATTTATAGCTAATATGGTTTTGTTTTCAATGAATTAAGAAAGATTAAATATATCTTTGTAAATTATTTTATGTCATAGCTTAATGGTTTACCAAATAAGACATCTCAAATGCAGTAGTATAAATGTATAAATTTTGTATGTATAAGAAATTTTATTAGACAGTCTCTTGCTTTTTGTAAACGCTGTAAATATTTCATAAATTAACAAAGTGTCACTCCATAAAAAGAAAAAAAAGCTAATACTAATAGCTGAAAGGATTTTGTGAAATTTCATGACAACTGTTTCATGGCAATAATGACTAAAGACCTGCTGTAATAAATATATTAACTAAACATCGCACTCTATTCCCAGAGCTGTAACTTTGTAGTGTATGTGTCTTAAATGTGCATGTTGCCCATCTTATTTGCTTTTCCTGGATCTACTTCACATGCTCTTTATCTTACTAGCAACCTTGTATAGGGCTCTCCCCAAATCCCAACAATATTAGAAATTTAAGTACATTGACAATGCAGATTTTAAGCCACAACTGCCTTTATTTTGGGCTTCCCTGGTAGCTCAGACAGTAAAGAATCTGCCTGCAATGCAGGAGACCTGGGTTGGCAAGATCCCCTGGAGGAGGGCATGGCAACCCACTCCAGTATTCTTTCCTGGCGAATGCCCATGGACAGAGGAGCCTGACAGGCTATAGTCCACGGGGTCACAAAGAGTTGGACACAACTGAGCGACTAAACACAGCACAGCACAATGACCTGTGTTTTTTTAAATTTATTTTGTTAAGTATACTTGATTTACAATGTTGTATTAATTTCTGCTGTATGGCAAAGTGATTCAGTTATACATATATATTTTTCCTATTCTTTTGTATTATGGTGTATCATGGATATTGAATATAGTTTCCTGTGCTATACAGGACCTTGTTGTTTATCCCTTCTAAATATAGCAGTTTGCATCTGCAAATCCCAAACTCCCACTCCCATCTCTCCCCCACTCCCCTGCCCCTTGGGCACCACAAGTCTGCTCTCTATGTCAGTCAGATCACAGCTGTCTTTATTAATGTAAGGATAGCTTTCACAAAAGTGCTGGGTTGCAGAGACATGAGACTTTAGACTCTGGATGGAGAATGTAGCAGTTGATATTAAGGGAGATTGAGAGACTGAAATAAGTCATACTCAAAGTCTCTTTAGGTAAAAAAAATATGAAAATTCTTCAGATGCTGCCAACTGGGAGTTGTTTATCTATGCATGTGCTAAGAATACCAAATAGTTATAATAGTCCACTTACCATTTAAAAAATCTGAATAGGACTCTTAAAAGAGTAAGTATCTCATTTAAAACTATGAGAAGGTTTACTCATAGAACTCTGCAGGTTCTTCTTCAGGCACAGCTGTGTTTCACCCTCACTGCACCCTCATAGCCACGCAGTGTTCTCTTGTCCCTGTTGTTCAACCGAGGAGAGCAGCGTGGATGCAGGGCTTCACCCACGTGCCCAAAGTTCCAGAGCATTGAAACAGATGTATGCAGGCACCAAATGGAATGCTGCCTCTCTTGGATTCCCACTGAGTAGCTTTAGCTCTGCCTTCTGGAATGAAATAGAATAAACTCTTCCTGGGGCAGTCCTTCAAGTAATTGGAATCATACATATTTTTGGTAATATAACAGGGTTTCTCTAACTATAGTCATGGTATTTCTGATCTATTTGTGATAAGACAGCAAAGCTCCTCCTTATGCTTTTGGGGAAGAATGATACTCAAAAGTTGGAAAATCCATTGACCAATATCTCCTTACTTGCAGTCCTCTCTACAGAATGCAGCTGCCAGTCCTGTGCACAGCTCATGTGGCTTTTGGGAGCTTTAGGCAAAGGTGTGTGTGTGTGCTAAATCACTTCAGTTGTGTCTGATTCTGTGCAACCCCATGGACTGTAGCTCACCAGGCTCCTCTGTCCATGGAATTCTCCAGGCAAGAATACTGGAGTGGGTAGCCATTTCCTTCTCCAGGGGAGTCTTCCTGACCCAGGGATCAAACCCATGTCTCTTACATCTCCTGTGTTGGCAGGCAGGTTCTTTACCACTAGGGCCACCTGGCAGGACTATTATAAAGGGAATGTTCTTAAAATACAGGGATTTATCACAGAGTATATACACCTAGGACTAGAGGATGTAATTACTGATGGCTATTAAAGTAAATTCTGGGGACACTCAAAGGAAAGAAATGTATGCAGCAAATAAGAACATGAGGATTAAAAAAAAAAAAGAACATGAGGATTAGTACATTCAAGGGAAAACCTAATGGTTGAAATAGACTGCAGTTGAATTCCTTTAGGTTCACAGAATCTCTAAAGCATACTGCTGGACAGAATACCAATTTTTTAAATAAGAGTTTGATACTCTGACATTTATTGGTAGATTTATAACTTAGTTAAAGAATTATTAATAAAGTCTTTTGTATTCAACAAATCTGGAAGATGAAAGATCAGCAAAACAAAGTATTTTCATTTTCTTATGAGGCTTAGATTCATATATGGATTATTCCTTATTTGCAGTAATTTGTCCTTTAAAAGCAAAGGTGATAATGCTTTAAACCACATACGGTAGCTAAAATGTTTAGTATTTAAACTATGTAGGGTAGCCAAAATGTTTAGACATGACCATTAAGACGTAGCAGTTTGTTTTCCTAGTAGCTACAGACAACATGGCTTATTCCTTTACGATGGTTATTATGTATGTGCTTTCGAAATGGACTGTTCCACAGTGCAGCCCACATAAATGACAAAAGAAGGTTGTTCATCTCATTTCGGGTGCTTTATGTCACAAACATACATTAGAAAGAACCCAGGTCGGGCCGTGTGGGGATCTGGGTTTCCGTCTGGGCTGTGGACCTGCTTCTTGGATAGAAGATGTGAGGTCCTACCAGCCTCCAGATGCCATGGATCCGGAGGCCTGCGAGGAGGCCTTAGCGTCCATCTGCTCAGTGAGGATAGGGACTGCTCGTGCTAGAAGAGTCCTTACAAGTCACATAGCCCTTTTCAGAAATACACTTTCATCACCTAGCACATACAATATTTATGGCACAGGAGGGCACTGGCCCCATGTGTTAGTTTCCCGTTTCCACTGTGAGAAATCACCACAAACTTAGTGATTTATTATCTTCCACACACATTTCTTCTCTCACAGTTCTGGAGGTCAGAGGGCTGAAGTTAGCCTCCCTGGCCTAAAGTCAAGATGTCAGCAGGGCTGCATTCCTCTGGCCGCTCTAGGGGAGAGTCCTTGCTTTGCCTCTTCCAGCCTCTAGTGGCCACCTTCCTCTGGCGACTAATGCCCAGTGCCTTCAAATCTCTCAACTCTGACTCTTCCGCCTTGCTTGTTGACATGTAAAGGACCCCGGTGGTTTTATTAGGCCCCTCTGGATGACCTAGGCTGCTCTGCCCGCCTCAGAGTCAGAGAATCAGGAATCTTCATGCCCCCTTGCTGCATAAAGGAACATGAACAAGGTTCTGGGTATAGGAAGCTGTGATGCCGCTACACAGCCCAGTCCCTGGTGGCAGGTGGCAAGTGGGTCTGCAAGCCTTGAAAGGTCAGACACACTCTCCTGTTACTAGCTCCGTAGTAATTCACAATTGGGTAAATGCGTAGCTCAATTCATTTAGTTACATTGCAGGTGAAATTTAGACTTTGAGTTGCCTCTGACTTTATTCCCTGTTCTATCCTCGCATCTCTCCAACTCCCTTGGCCCCCAAATGGAAGAAAGGGAGCTAAGTATCAGGGGCATATGTGCCAAACTCGGTACTATCTAGCCTCCCCACAACATAAAATTGATAGGGTTGCTTTTTAAGGGTTTTTTAAAAATCATTTTAGAGATGTGACAGAGAACCAGAAGTTCTTTTTTTTTTAAGACAATATTTTATTTTTTTTGGCTGCATCACACAGCATGCAGGATCTTAGTTCCCCAACCAGGGATTGAACCCATGGCCCTTGCAGTGGAAGTGTAGAGTCTTAGCCATTGGACCACCAGGAAAGTCCAAGACAACATTTTAGATAGTATTTATCAACAAATACTGTCTCCTATGACCCAGACCTGTGTCAGCTGAACTTTGTTGGGAAACAAAAATGAATAAAATAGTGGCCTCCTTCCAGGAATGTCTGGCCTAGTGGGAAGACAGTCCAGTTAACTGGTAATTCCAATGCAGGGTGCAACCTGCTTTAATAGAGGCAGATGGTGGCGGCGGGGCGGGGTGGGGGGTGGGCTTTGGGGCCAAGATAGGGGGTCAAGGTGGAATTTCTTGGGAATGCAGTCAAGAACTGAGTCTCCTTAGTTAAGTAGGAGCTTGGTCATATCTCATCAGGGAAATGTACATTCAAACCAGTGATACCACCCCACACCCCCGTGTTAGCTAACCTTTGAAAAGTCTGGTAATCCCAAGCATTGACCAGGTGGGCCAATAGGAACTCTCATAGACTGCTTTGGAGATGATTGGCATTATCTGGTAAATATTAATATTAATCTAGTAACACACTTTTGTCCTAGGCTTCTTTAGGAACTCTCACAAGTAACTTTAAAAATAAAATGAACACACAGTTTTTTTTAAAAAAAAAAGCAAAGATAGAAAGCCCTCAGTGGGAACCAACAGAAACAACAGACACCAGGAGAGGACCTGTCAGGCTGCAGATGGCTCAGGTCATCAGGTACAAGCAGTGGTGGGCTGAATGGATTTCTCTTTGGCCTAATTCTCCTTGAAGAGTGTGGGACTTAGGATACGTTTAAAATGTCACCATTTTCTTCCTGACAAAGCTCAGAGCAGATAGGTTGCCCATACCTCCTTTTAACAAAGTACTGGACTGAAAGTGGGTGTCTTAACTCAGGCTGCCATAACAAAATACCAGAGACTGAGTGCCTTAAAAAATGAGCATTTATTTTCTTACAGTTTCGGAGCCTGGGAAGTCCCAAGATCAAGACTCTGGCAAGATTGAGATAATTGGGAGAGCCTTTTTCCTGGCTTGCAGAGAGCTGCCTTCACACTATATTCTCAAATGGCCTTTCCTCAGTGCCTCCTTACAGGGAGAGTCAAGCTCTCTGGCATCTTTCCTTAGAAAAGCACAATCCAAACATTTCAGGGCCCCAGCTGTATGACCTAATCACCTCCCAAAGGCCTCATCTCCAAATACCTCAATACCAATTTGATGGTGGCCTCATCTCCAAATACCTCAATACCAATTTGATGGTTATGGCTTCAACATATAAATGGTGGAGGTAGGGGGAGAGACACAAACATTCCATCTGTAATACTGGGTTAAACATTTGATTTAATAATTTTGGAAAACCAGAAGCCTGCAAGAGGTGGGTCTCCAGTATATCTGGAAATCTGCCCTTCCTTCCTCCTAACTCTTCTCACCCTGCCACCCTTTCACCCCAGGCTCATCCCCTCTTGGGTGTTAGGGTTTCAAGCATCACACTCTCACAGTTCAGTTGGAAGTTATCAACGTGAGAGGGCAGGATGGGTTTGGGATGAGAACTAATAACTCCCTGTCTACAGGTCTGCCTTCTATCAGAATGCAAACTATTGCCTTTATATTTCACTGGCCAGATTTTGGTCACAGGTCATACTCAGGGCAACCACAGGCAAAGGGCAGTAGCCATCATTCCCACCCCCAACTAAATCAAGGGTGGGTAACAGGCGGTGAGCCCGTTAGATATGCAAACCCTAATAGAATGGTCAGGAAAATAAATATAAAGCAGGAATCAAATATCCTAAATGCTTTTATCAGCAGATACAGACTTGATTTCCACAAGCGGTGATTTAGCCGACAGAAGTTACACGTTGCTGATAATATAAACTGAGGGCGGATGTTCCAAGGGCGGCATCAGAACACTTGGTTACCCTACAGATGGCGGGGAGGTGGCTTTGTGGGGGCGTGGGAGGGCGGCTAAGAATGGAGTGAGGGGAGGTTGCTAGAATGCATGGCATTGCTCGGGGTTGGAGATGTCAAGGCCACGGAGGCCCACGGGCGTTGGGGCTTCTCCCGCCGCAAAACTTTTCTAAGGAAGGAAAACGGATGGAAAACAAATCGTACTGAATACTTGAATTTCTCTAAACTTTTTTTTCTTCTTTAACCCTGCATCGCTATAGCCCATCTAGGAGTTTCCCGAGCAAAGCACGTTCTGCCTAAGTCGTGGGTCGATCTCGACCCCAAGTGGCTTGGGACGTGTCCAGGTCGCCCGGGCCTCACCCCGCCGGCTGGCGGACCGGTGGACCAGGTGGGGCTCCGGCGGGGCCGAGGGGAGCGGGCTGGGGACCCGGCTCCGGGTCGCGCACCGCCCTCCCCGCCCCCCACCCCCACGCGCGCGGCCTTGTGGGTAACGCGGGGCGCCAGGTGACAGCTAATGGCGGCGGCCGTCTGAGCCGGGCGGGCGGCAGATCGGGGCCGCCGGAGGCGAGCGGCCGGACCTTCCGGGGCGCCGCTCCCCTCCTGATTGCGGCTTCCCCGCGGCGGTGGACGCGACGCGCCATGGACAGGCCGGCGGCAGCGGCGGCGGCGGCGGCGGCGGCGGCGGCTGGCTGCGAGAGCGGCGGGGGCCTGGGCCCGGGACCGGCGGGCGGCAGGAGGCCCCCTTGGGTCGCTGGGGGCCCCGCCGTCGGCTCCCGGCAGCCAAGCGTGGAGACTCTGGACAGGTAAGCGGGGCCCGGCCGCCCCCACCCCGCGCCCCGACTCCCGAGGACCCCGCGCGAGGCCCGGCCGCCGCTTCCCCGCGTGCTGGCCTGAGGCCGAGCCGGGGCGTCCGCCTCCCGTCTCCCCTCCCCGTCCCCTCCGGAGCCCCGCGAACCCCTGGCTGGTCGCTGGTCCCGCACCTGGCTCGTTTTCGCCGCTCGCCGGAGCTTCCCCGCACCCCAATGGGCTTCGCAGCTGTCAAACCGCGTCCCAGGCCGCCTCCTACTGCACCTGGGAGCCGCCTCAGCGGCCGGTACCCCGGCCACAAATCGTTGGGAGGCAGTTTCATCACGGTGCCCCTTTTTTCGCATGACCTTGCCTCGAGTGATCTCAAGATCCAAATCCCGCTGCCGCTGCTTGGGGGCTTTGATGTGGGGATTGGGAGGGGGTACTGGGGGGCAGAACCTCGCGGGTGTCGGAGCTGGCACAGATGGAGGCAAAGATACCCTCATTTCGATGGAAAACTTCCAAACTGCTCCTGATGCAAGAACACATCAGCGTTTACTTTCAGTTCCTCACACTTTGAAGGGACCAGTTCATTGTTCTCACAAACACGTTAAGCCCACTGCTTCTTAGGCAGCCAGAGAACTTAAATCAAGCAGTTAGAAGCATAAACCGACCAGATCTAAGTGGGAGGGCCACCCTGACCCTCTGAGGACAAGAGTTGGGTGATCCCCTCTCCTGGAGTATGTAACTTTCCCTCATCTTGGGCATTTCGCTGACACTAGAGTGCAGTTAGGCATCCCGGTCCTAAAGCCCCTAGGACAGTTTTAGATGTTGGTTCCTGCCTTAGTCACTCCAGTGAGCTAAACTTTTGGGAGTTTCCAAAGGCATAGGAACAACAAGAAACACTCCTTTTGTGTAATTACAATACATTTTAATAAAGTCATTACCCAAGTGGTCAGCTTCTCTGAAAACTAATCACAGCTAAGATAGTGTGCGGAATGGTCAGGGTTGCACTATCTGTAGATATTCTATTATGTATGAGTGCTTGGAGAATCAGAGAATAATGGCAGACAGCTTTTGCACTCTGGCTTAACATCTAGTGGAGAATACAAATAAAACAGCCATTGAAACCAAATGTGATAAGTGCCAGGGTGGAGGTGCGCTTGGAATCGCTCTGGATGCCGGGTGCATGGGAATCATCTGAGAAGCTATTTAAGAACTCCAGGTGGCCAGACCCCATTCTGAGGCTTCTCATTCAGGAGGTTTGGGTGAGGCCTAGATGTTAGAATTTTTCAAAAAGGCTCTACCACTTCAGTTGTGATCCACTGCACTATGGTACCCAGAGGTGGGGTATTCACTTCGTTTTTAGTGGTAGGGACGGACAGGGTGCACTGTTTGGCCACTGGAGTGGAACGTGTGTCATCCTGGCTGGATGCTGGATGTGGGGAACGGGTAGTAAAGGCCTGTGGGAAGGCAGGGGCTGGATCCTGATGGGGCCTGTGTGCCTTCCAAGGAGCCATGCCTTTGTCTTCCAGGCCAGTGCTTCTCCAACATCTCTGTAGAGTCCGAGTCAGAATCACCTCTAGTGCTTGATTCAAATGCAGACTCTTAGGTCCCACCCTAAATCTGACCTGCCACCTCCTGGGTAGAGCCTGAAATTCTGCATTTTTAATAACCACCCTAGCTCAAGTAGGGTGGACTGTGCGGTCTCTTTGGCCCCAGATGGTACAGGGTACTGGCTGGGCCAGTGAGATTATCAGTAGTGTCCTTCTGCAACTCACACTGGTGTCCTGGTTTGGAAAAAGGAATTATATGGTCACCTAGTTACGGGGGTCACAAGAGGAGTTCCATCAGGGAAGCTACAGGATGGCCTCTGCATTTGAGAACAAGTGCCATGCAGTAGTGTTGTGAAGGGACTGGAGGCAGGGTGGTCTCATTGAGTTAGGTTAAGTAGGTTCTGGAAATGCTTCTCTCTCAGTCATTTATGCTGTGAATACGAGAGCCTGCTCTGTGTCTGGCCCTGTGCTAGGCCTGAGGATACAGCTAGGAACACGCACAGACAAATCCCTGCCCTCGCGGGTCATCTTTAGTGGGAGAGAGAAACCAAAGACCTAGTTGCATGTGTTCCGTGTTAGATGGTGATAGGTGCGGGGGGACAATAGTCATCCGGGAGGGATAGGAAGTGGCTGGGGTGTGCACTCTGGGCAGTGCTGGGAGTGTTGTGTAGGGGGGTCAGGGAAAGGCTTTCGGAGAGAAGTGGCATTTCAGTAGTGCCTCTGAAGAGGGGTCTAGTCATGCGCGTAGCCGGGCAACAGCACTCTAGGCTGAGGCCTGTGTTCAAGGGTCAACTTGGAGAGCCGTGTCACCAGCACAGAAAGCACTGGGGGGACGCAGCAGAGGACAAAGTCGGAGAGGTCACAGGGGCCACAGACGGTGGAGTGGGTGGCGTGAAGCAGAGGAGGGCCGACACCTGGTGTAGATTTCAGTAAGCTCTCCACGGCTGCTGTGCGGATGACAGACCGGAAGGGGAAGGAGTTGAATCAGAGAGTCTAGCAGGTGGGAGGCTGTTGCAGTCAGACTGAGAGAGGATGGTGGCCACGAGTGGAGCCGCGGGCTGGAGGAAGGGAGAAGCGGTCAGGCTTAAGATATCATCTGAAGGACATCTGCAGGGTAGAGCCAGCAGGGTTTGCTGCAGGTTGGCAGTTGGCTAGGCAAGGGGGAGAATCGAGGACGGTTCCAGTGTCTTCAGCTTGTGGAAGACAGTGTGGCCAAGATGGAGAAGCCTCTAAGTGGAACAGGGTTAGGAAGTTAGCAGGCGCTCACTCTGGATAGAACAGCAATGAGATGTCAGTTGGATGTCCCAGAGCAGATGTCAAAGAGGCAGTTGGTTTGTTTAGGCCTGGAGTTCAGGGGTGGTGTCTGGGTTGGAGACCTGAATTTGGGAGTCACTGGCTTAGAGGTGGAGCTTTAATTCATGAGGCAGGGGAACCCAGACAAATGATGGGTGTCTGTCTGGAAAAGGGAGTTGGAATAGGAGTGGGCAAGGTGCCTTCTCATGATACTTAGCAGGTCAGAGTGACAAGACTTGAGCATTCAGATGTGAGAGCAAAAAGGAGTATGGGCCTCAAGGTAAATGTCAGCTTTGGAGTCTGAGGTCCCTGGGTGAGGTTCTGCTTTTCCCTGGCTTAGGAAACATGAGGGTGAAGGAACAGGTTGCAGGCTGGGTGACTGAGGCTGGTTTAGACACATGGAGCCGGCAGGGTTTCTGGGACTGACTAGTGGAGCTGTCCCATGGGATTCTGGGCCTCTGGATTGAGAGCATCCAGGCTGGAGAAACAAAGCTGGGGACCCCCAGGCTGCAGGTGGCTGTTGTCACCAGGAGAGTGCAGGGAGATTGCGCTGAGCAAAGAGCAGAGACAGGAGAGGAAACGTGGCCTCTCAGTCCTGTCCTCGTACCCAGAGTAGACCCTGGCTCTGCAGGTATGGCTCAGCTGTGGACTGTGGGCCCTCCTCTCTCTTCTGAATACTGTACTTCTCTAAATGCTGACAAAGCTGTGGGCCTGCAAGAGGATGTGGCTTGCTCAAGCTGGTGACAGAAACAGGACCCGGATCCAGGCTTCCTGTCTACTAGTCCACCATACCACACTATTCATAACTCTATTAGCCAGGATGCTTCTGGTTGCAGGTACAAAAACCACAAATCATTCTAGCTCCAGCTGGGAAGGAAATGTCTTGGCTCCATCACTGCTGCTGACGGGGGGAAAGGTGGCCACGGGCATGTTTACAGCCAGAGTTGCAAGCACTGTGGTTGGGGCTCCCCATCTCTGTTTTTTTTTTTTTTTTTTCCTTGTCTTACTCTTTATCTCTATGGGTTCCTCCAGGTGGTGCGGTGGGAATGGCCTCCAGCAGCACTGGGGCTGGGAACACCTCTGATCCAATGGGAAAGCTTGGGATTGGCCTGGCGATCTGGGTTACTCCCCTCCCAAGTGGGGGCGGGAAGGGGGGAGTCACCTTCCTCCTCCTACTGATGAAATGGGGAGGGGCAATTTCCTACAGTTCTCAGAGGCATCCTTATCAGAAGGAAGGGGAGAGGATGCTTGGCAAAGGGTAACAACAGCCCTCCCACCCCCATAGTGGGTGAACAGGCAGGTTCCTACTGTTAGATTTGCTATCAGGTGTGGGTGCTGATGGAAAAAAGTGCAGCATGCCAAGAGAAGTGTGATAGGACCAGGCAATAAAGGTGACTTAGCCTTTAAAAGGAAACCAATCTCTCTCCCTTTCCCCTCCTCCTACCTCTTAAGTTATTAATTGTGGTAAATAGGCTCCTAGAGTATGATAGGAATGTCTGCCCATTCAGTGAATATTCTAACTGATATTTACAGCCCCACAGACAACCACTGGGCTGTCTTGGTCAGAGAATGTAATTTAGATCACCGGTAGAGCATGTCAAGTGTCTTTATTTTACTATTTAGGTTATTTTACACACTGCCTAGGGATTCCAGGTTTTTCTGTCCTTCCAATATACAAGTGTGGATTTCATTAGTGATGAGATTTTCAAAGGGTCTGAAACATTCTTCACAGTGAAAGCTACCTACGAGGTAAACTCTCATAAGTATCTTATGCCCTTTAACTTGATTTCTTCAGTGCTTTCGTGAGTTGAGAGAGGAGACTGCCCTCTGGGGGCCATTTTTAGTTCCCTCTGTGCCTAGATTGCTGACATGGTCCTTTAAGTCAGGTGAGAAGAGCCTGACCACTTACCAACCACGGGACCTTTGTCAAACACTAGAGCCTTAGTTTTCTCCTCTGTAAGGCAGGTCACTGTGAGGCTTGGGTGAGGCCATGTGCAGAAATGTGTTGAACACTTGAGAGCAGCACGCAAGTGGGAGATGCCATTTTCTCTGCATTGTGGTATTCTCGTTTAAGGCAGTGGTGAGCATCCGTGGCACTGGCCTGGGTTTTTGCCCTCTGGCTCCATGAGTTGGTCATTACTGGTGGTACTACATCCTGGAAGGACAGCCCCAGTGGAGCTGGAGGCAGGCCTACCACTTTCTGATGGGCCTTGTCACTTCTGCACCTCAATTTTCTCATCTCAGAAACCTGTCGTCTAGTCCCTGCTCTGCCTTCTTATCACTTGTGGTTGTCAGGCTCTGATGTAATAATGGACTGGTAGAGCCTTTTGTAAGTTGTCAAAGCACTTACAGAAATGTAAGTTTGCATTATTACTACACATAGGACATAACTTCTCTAGTCTGTTCTTTTTAAAATCCTACAATCGCTTTGCTCCATTAAGAGTCACTTTGATTCACTTGAAATTACATCATTTTATAGATTTAAAGCTACCAACACGAAATTGATTGCATTTTTGAAGAGCATATGCTGTAAGATAAATATTTCACTTTAGAATTAATTTTCTACTTACACTGAGAATATTCACTCTGTATAGTTGTAACTGAGTAATATTTCATTAAAGGCTAGAAAATAACATGCTTAGCTGTCTGAGGTCTAGAATCTTAACCTTAAAATAAATTAGTTCGTTTATTTCAAATCACCCTGGAACCTATTCTTACTTCTTAGTTGTCAGTCAGTATTTCAGTTCTTATAGTAAATGTAAAGGTAACCAAATGGCCTAATTGAAGTTTGTTTTCTAAAAAGGAAGTGTACATATATCCCTAGTCCGTGCTCATTTTTCTCACTCAGAGCCTATGTCTTAAAATATTTTAATTGCACTATTTCTTTTAGTCCTACAGGATCACATGTTGAATGGTGTAAACAGCTTATAGCTGCTACAATTTCTAGTCAGATTTCAGGTTCAGTGACATCAGAAAATGTATCCAGAGATTACAAGGTAAGCAGAATTGAGTCCTTAATTCATTTTCAATATACCGAGTAGCCAAGAAGCTTTGCAAATTTAATTCAAATAAGACTTTGGCCCCCTGATGCTCACTGGCCATTTGCTTGGGAACAAGGGTGAAATGTCCTCTGTTGTTAAATCTGAACTTTAGAAGAGACGTTTTTACCAGGATCAGGTATATGTGATCATAGTTTTATAACCAAGAGGAAAAGTTGACTTTTGATTATGATCATTCTTTTGAAAATCCAGTTCCATTTTATTATCTTATTATGTATTATATTTTTAGATTTGATTATAATAAATGCCTATAATTTTCTGTATTAGTATTCTGAATTTCAGAAAACATCTGATAGGATTTCTCTAACTTCACAGTTTGTTTCTGTATTTATGTACTACCTGTGGGTTTTCAGCATTAATATGTGATACTGGAATGCAAAAAAAAAAAAAAAAACCTGTAAAATCTCAAGAATGTTGTATGGGCAGCCTCATTTTTTAGTCCTTATTGAATTGAGAAATCTCTTCTTGTTTATTTTAAAAGTTGGATTCCCTGCTTATTCTAAAGTTAAAGTGATAAGCTCCTTGTCAGCAGAAACTGGGGCTCTTTTTCTCACCACTGCTCCCCCAGCACGATCCTGGAACATAACAGGTGCTCAATAAAATTTTGTTGAATCAATTAACAAATAAAATGCTTGCGTGCTCCATCTTTATTAAGGCTAAAGACTAACTTTGTTTTAATGTCAAGAAACTATTAACAGGTACATTCAGTGAAACCATGTTTAATTTCAGTAGTAGAGTTTGCTTGAATTGAGGTTTCAGTTTATTATAGTCATTTTTGCCCACTGGTAAGAGAGAATAGATTTTCACAAGTATGGACGAATTACATTTTAGTACCCTGGGTCAACGGCTCTCAAAATCATGGCCCTTGCCAGGCATCAGATCTTACAAGGAGTTCAAGAGCTGTGATAACGATCTTAAGTCATTCTTAATAGCTGTCCTTGTTGAAGGGCTCTCACCTCACTTCCTCTTCAGCTTGCCCTGTAACAAGTGCAGAAACTGACTCCAGGGGATGTGTACTTGAGATTTGGCTGTGGTGTTGAACTTGCTTCATCCAAGCCACTGGATACTATCTATTACGCCTCCCAGAGGAAGGCATGGCTGTGGCTGAATAGAGATTGGATAATATGCCCAGCCAAAAGAGTGGCAGTATAGTTCTGGATAGGTTTCCCTGCTGTCTGGTTTTTGTGTTTGCCCACGTAGGAGCACCTGGGGCTCCTGTTCCACAAGAGCTGGTGGGCAGATATGCTGTTTCCAGGTGGGAGAAGTGTTTGCTGCATCACCTATGCCTGAGTGGCTGGGCACTGGCCAGCTGCTGACCCACTGGTCCCAGGTGCCCTCCTGCCCCCACCATAGCTGAAACACTGCCCCACCGAGGGAGAGGCTCCAGGACCCACATAAGCAGGGAATGGCTCTCAGACCTTGGGCTGATTTTTCTTTACGGACAGTTATGAGTTACCTGTAATGTTTTCATTTATTGTTCAATAGTTGTTAGTGCTATGTGGGTTCTAGAAAAGAATGGTGACCATGTGATAGCTATCTAACCTCTACATGAATAGATAAGACTGAATCTATACTTTAACATGAAGCAACTAAAGTTTTTTTTTTTAATTTTAGTCTATTTATGAATTTTGTATAGCAGAATTAGCTCATGTTGGAATGGTTTAACAGATGGTATTCAGAGAAAAAGAATGCTTTTCCATGTTTTGAAAATTGAATTTTAAGTGCCTACATCAGAACATAGCTAAAATTTTAGATGAATTATTGTGAGAGCTGGAGAAGGAAATGGCAACCCACTCCAGTATTCTTGCCTAGAGAATCCCGTGAACAGAGGAGCCTGGTGGGCTGCTGTCCATAGGGTCGCACTGAGTCAAACATGACTGAAGCAACTTAGCATGCATGCATGCATTGGAGAAGGAAATAGTAACCCACTCTAGTATTCTTGCCTGGAGAATCCTAGGGACAGAGGAGCCTGGTGGGCTGCCATCTATGGGGTCGCACAGAGTCAGACATGACTGAAGCGACTTAAGCGACTTAGCAGCAGCAGCAGCTTTGTGAGAACATTTTTTTTTAATCACTGTCTTTGTTACATTAGTCCTGTAGCCGAGTCTGCAAATTTGGTGTTAAATTAATAATTCAGGAATTGTTGTGTTTTCTTTAAGAAGAGAGTTCTTTTAAATAATAAAAGCATAAAATGTTTCTAAACCACAGATAATTTTACATGCTGTATATAAAGTAGTTCTTGAAATCAGGGTATCCCAAACAGGCCTTTGGGATACCTCTGGCACGGAAGCTGTGCCTGGCATTGGCCCTGAAGGGCTAGATACAATTCCTTGAGGATTTAGCATGCAGTCATCAGTCAGTAATACTTGAGATTATGTATTGTGCAAATATCTTATTTGAAACAGGCACTCAATTTGGTGGTTAGTTTATTATAGGTTAGACTCAATGTCAGTAGTGAAATGGGAGCAGGTGTGTTTCTGGAGCAGGCCCCTTGCATCTTGATTTGGAATGCTGATTGTGTTCTCAGTTGTAGCTGCTGAGAGTAGTTCAGCATCCTCACCCTCATAAGCCTTCTAGCCTGTGTAGGGCTCTGTGGTTTTGTCTTACTTTTTTGACATATTATCCATTTAATTCTTAAGACAACCCAGTGAGATGGCATTTATTATAATCATCACTTAACAGGTGAGGAAAGCAAGGCTTAGAAAGATTAAGTGACTCAGTTCCATGGTGGCTCAGATGATAAAGAATCTGCCTTCAGTGCAGGAGACTGGGTTTAATCCCTGGGTCTGGAATATCCCCTGGAGAAGGAAATGGCACCCTACTCCAGTATTCTTGCCTGGGAAATCCCCTGGACAGAGGAGCCCAGTGCAAAGAGTCAGACATGACTAAGCAATAACACTAGTATCATGCAGTTAGACTTGGGATTTGAACCAAGTCATCCTATTGAAATGCTAGAGTGATTTTAAGAATTTTGTCCTGCCTTCCTGTTCACTGTTTTTCAAAATGTGGCCCTTGGGTGTTCCCTGGGATGCCTGCAGAAATGCAGTTTCCATGGTCTGCATCCCACTCAGTGAATCAGAATCTCTGAGGGTGGGGAAGAGTGGATCTTATGTATTTCTTGTGTACAATAAATTGTGAAAAGTTTGGCTTCCCTAGGTTTGTGTCTGTTGAAATTGATGATGATACCATACATTCTGGTATATTCCTACAAACCTGAATAATTAGCACTCATGTTGGATTTTAAAGTACAGTTGCTTTATTATTTTCCCATATCATAAATCGACAGCTTAAGGTCAGATCACCCAAGGTGATCAGATCACCCAAGAATAACACTGGCATCACATGAAAAGAGTTAAGATGGTATGCCCATGAACATATTTTAACAGTTATATAATTATTTTAATGTGCAGTAGAAAAACTGGCACATCAGACTTGATTTAATAGATGGATATTATTGCTTAAAGCCAGGCAAAATATGAAAAAAGAGTGGATTTAAAGTCAACGTAAATACTAATATTAGTATTATAGGTGACATGCAGGTATAGCAAGCCAGACTTGCACAGGTGGTATATAAGATGCCAGAAGTTTGGAGAACATTGTCCCTGTTGAAAGAGTAGATAGCTATTATGTGAATTACAGATTAACTAAATTAATAAATGTATGCCTTAATATCAAGTCATCTTGAAGATTTACCTGATAATTAAGGCTACTAGAAGAAATGTAATAAAATGTGTTCTTTGCCCACCCTACTACTAACTCAGTTGCTTCCATTTTTAACAGGCTAAGAAAGAGTACAAGTCTCTCCCTTGAATTTGTCAAAACATTTAAGAACAAGATCTGAATGTAATGTTCCAAAGATTAGATGAAAAAAATAGTCATAAATTGTAATGAAACATTTTTAGGAACTGTTAGCAGAAGTGACAAAGTTGATGAGCTTCCATTGTTTGCAAAGCAGAACTAGGTCAAGAAGAGGGAACATGGTGGAGCCATACAGACTGTACTGGTTAGCTTTGTAACCTTGTATAACCTCTGAGTATCACTTTCCTTTTGTGTAAGGATAAGAGTTTAGATTAGATTTAAAGTCTCTAAATTCCTTTCTTTCTAGAACATTCTTCAATTGTGTTTTGTCCAAAAGGATTTGATTCTGGCCAGCCTTCAGGAAATTAGGACACCATAGTTTTAATGTGATCATTCTCTTTCCTCTGGCTCCGACATCACCATCACAAACACCACCATCATCATCACCCCTCTGTCCCTCCTGTTTCTGCTGCTCTCATCACCACACACAGAGTAGCTAGATCTCTTCTTTAAATATTCTGAAGAAAAAGGAGAAAATGGAGAGGGTCTTGTACTAAATTTAATCATTTAGTAAGTTAGTACAGTGACTAAATTCTGGATCCTAAACAAAAGTTTCCAGAAGGGCTTTGGAGGGAAGTGGGATGCAATGTGTGGAGAAGGCTTCATTATGCTTGAGCTTGGTCTTAGTTAATATTTCTTAAATTGAGTACAAGTCTAGAAAGAGCGAAGTTTGAGCATGATCATTTTTAATCCATGGGCATAATCCACTTTTGATAGCTTGGTCTCATGATCTGTTTATTAAATCAGAGGTTGCAAACACAGATGTCTACAGGGGAGAGCTAACAAGCTAAACAGACATGGGTGAGAGCTGTGGAGAACTGGAGACTGCAGTGTGTCCCCTTAGAAACAATTTAATTATAAAAACAAACATGCTCCTGCCTGTTTGAGCAACAGGCCTCCAGTTTGTAATCACTGTAATGGCAGAGTACTGTCCTATCTCTCGGGATTACTTGTAGGTAGAATTATTTCTTAAAAATATCAAGGTTTGGGCTTCTGCTTCTGGAAAGATGGAGCAGATGTACTTTTTCTTATTTTGCACTCTCAGTATAAATAAATATCCTGGACATGATCTATAAGAT